AGAGAAAATCCATACCTTCTAACCACAAGTAAAAGTGTGGGCCACTAACTTGAATCACGTAACTGGCACCACCCAAAGAGGCGAACATGCCCAGAACGGGGGATGGTCTGACCGAAGAATTTAAAGGTCAGCCTGATGTCAATGCATGCCAGGCTGCCTGCCAATCATGCAGGCTGGCCAACAAAGGACTTTGCAGACAATGCACTTAATGATGCACTCGTTCTACACTATCTGTGGAGCGTCCCCTAGCACTCACTTGCCCAGTCCTCACCTTACTTTCTTACAAGTAGGCAGAAGCTTTTGGTATGCAATCTGGTACAGAAAAAAGGTGGATGTTGTGTGTGTAGAAGAAAGGGGACACAGAGTTAGAGAGACTGAAACAGCAAGAGCATTTGCACAGTGCGCATAGTCAAATTTATCCCCAGTCAGTAATTTCATTTTCAGCCAGTCTACTCAAGTTTTGTTCCTTTACATCCCTCTTAAGTTTCCATACCAAATTCCCTTTGCACAAAGCAAGAGCATGAGAAGAGTAGTAAAATAAAAAAATAAAAATAAAATATATATATTCAGCTCCATCAGCCACTATGTTTATCCAGTTTATTAGAATTGTGCAGAGGGCACTAAAACAGTGTCTGCCTTTAGCGGGCCAGCCTGAATAATGGACAGGCAGCCTGGCATCCATTTATGCCAGGCTGACCTGACAATCCTTCAGACGGTCCCATCTCCTTTCTGGATAGCTCTTCCCTCTTTGGGCAATGCCAGTGATGCAATCGCACCACTGGCCCCCCACTCCCTTCCCCCTCCCACTGGTGTTCCGATTTACAGGATGCCGAAGCTGGGAGATATAGTTTCTCTAGACATCATAGTAAGCCAGAAAAACGAAATTAAAGTGGTTTATAAATGTCTCCAGGGTACACGCTTCACCCCTACGCATATGATAAATAATACATGATGTATTAAGGTTTGTTTTAAAATTTCAAGTTCTGTGCTGTTTCTAGACAGGCCTTACAGATTGACTTTAGTGACTTACTGATAACAGTTTACATACTACATGAGATTACCCCATGGAGTGTTTGTGAGTGCAAATTAACTTATCTACTAATTCTCTTAGATGTTTGTAGCTGTACTTTGCTCTATTTACATTTCTTCCACCATGGCATGAAGTAATATTTTTTGAGCAGCAGATACTTCTGCGGTCTCAACACAAGCTGGAATAGAGGAGAATATGCTGGATTGATTGAAAATGTCTTTATCAGTCACAGATCGTGTAACCAACTCATTGCTTCACAAACATTACAATATATCATACAGAGTGTTTTAAAAAAATAAAGCAAAAACATTTCCACTTTGAATTTTATATGATTATAAATATTCATGAATACTGCATTTCAAATCTCCAACTTGACCAGTGTCATTTTGAATTTATAGCTATGCAGTTTAATAGTAGGAGATAAGCAGGCTATGCATTTAATTTATTTATTAGTGGCATTTATAAAGCGGCAACATATTCAGCAGCTCTGTGCAATGAGTGAAGAACATACAATATATACAGACAATTATTTATTATAACAGTAATAATAAGAAATACAGCATCTGTGGTTTTCTTACTAAACAAAGAATTGCTTACAATTAACAAGGAAATTGCAAGTGTTACGCTGAAATAAAGAAATAATAAAAATAGCTATGGGTGTGTATTCGGAAAGTTAACTTTGCTGCTTTTAGCAACTCCAGTACCACTCTACTCCAGGCCATCTTTAACCTCTTAAGGACACATGACATGTGTGACATGTCATGATTCCCTTTTATTCCAGAAGTTTGGTCCTTAAGGGGTTAAAGGACCACTATAGGCACCCAGACCACTTCAGCTTAATGAAGTGGTCTGGGTGCCAGGTCCATCTAGGGTTAACCCTTTTTTTTATAAACATAGCAGTTTCAGAGGAACTGCTATGTTTATGTTAGGGTTAATCCAGCCTCCAGTGGCTATCTCTTGACAGCCGCTAGAGGTGCTTGTGTGCTTTTGACTGTGAAAATCACAGTGAGAAGACGCCAGCGTCCATAGGAAAGCATTGATAATGCTTTCCTGTGGACTTGCTGAATGCGCGCGCGGCTCCTGCCGCGCATGCGCATTCAGCCGGAGAGGAGGAGGAGAGCTCCCCGCCCGGCGCTGGAGAAAGAGGTAAGTATAACCCCTGCCTCCCCCTAGAGCCCGGCGGGAGGGGGACCCTGAGGGTGGGGGTACCCTCTGGGCACTATGGTGCCAGGAAAACAAGTGTTTTCCTGGCACTATAGTGGTTCTTTAATGTTGATTGGACCCTGGGCAAGCATTTACTTGGGACCCTTGGTCCCTGCCCTCCCACTCCCTAGCATACAAACACAAACACACCCCAAATCACACACACAGATCGTAGACTTAGCCACACTTATTTTTTCACAGATAGAAAATACACACACTGACACACATACAGATGCAAAGACTGACAAACATACAGATACACACATACACAGGCTCAGACATACACAGGTACAGACATCCAGATACACTGGACGTCCGTTGTTTCTGCTTAATATGCTGCACATCCAGAGATATCTGTATTTGTGTGCCGATGGCTAGTTAAACCCCAGCACACGTGACTTTCACAGATCGGAATCCTGTGCATATTTTATATCTATTGTCAACGTGCTGGCAATAGCCATAATAATCATCTCCCTCCAGGCATGGCACCAGCAAGGGGAAACTCGCTCTCCCCTCCCTTTCGCTGTGCAGTCCGTCCCACCTCCCTCCATTGCTTATAACTCATATCTCTATGAGAAGTCTTTAACTGACGTCAGATAGGGGAGGGAGACTGGCGCTGGGAGCTTTGCCTGGCGCTGAATTACGGGTAACTTTAAACTCTTTTATTGCACATTTTAAGAAAGCTGGGACCTATTGGCCATTTCCAGTAGGGAATAACTCCAAAAAAATGTAAACTGACCTAAAGATTTAGAGTAACCCTTTAAATGTTAAGGGAAAGGAGCAAGACTGATAATTTAGACAACAGAAAACACACCAGGGGGTGGCACCAAATAAATGTAAGCACCCAGGTGTCAGAGACTGTTATCTCACCCCCTGATCATTTTTTATTATGTCTAAAAGGCTTAAAGGGGTATAAAATCCTGGTTTATTCTTCTGATTATGTAATCTATTTACTGTGATAGTCAATTTTTAAAATACATATTAGGCTACTGAATAGGCTAACAAATATACTGTAAGTAGTATAGGGTATTTAAAGTTATATTTTCATATCTCTTTTTTTCTGGTCAGGTATCCACAAGGAAGTTCATTTGTAAACACAATGTATAGGTTATATAATAAAAAGATAAAAGTGGTTCTCTGTAATATTATGCATGACATGATTTCTTTAAAATGGGTGTGATTACCTAGAAAACGTACCTTTAACTGACCAACTATAGATTATCAAAATGCTTTATGTCTACACTGTCACTGACTTCATAACATTTCAACTTTATACCCAGTTGATTATTTACAGACTATAGATTTTAAATCGGCTGAGTAAAATTAAAGTAAAGTAAGTCAAGGTAGTGTATTGAAATATGTATTTGGAGGACCTCGAGACAAAGGTATCCCTGTGACAGTCAACACATTATTTGGTATGATGAAACAGTTTATATACTTGTATCTACAAATACCTATTTATGTATATTTAGTTCTCATTAGAGTACTGTAGTATATTAATTACAGATCATCTTTAATTTGCTGAAGAGTAACAATCCAAGAAGTTGGTAGAGATAAAAAATTATATTTGTTTATTCATTTATTACTGGCATTTATAAAGCGCTAACATATATCGCTGCGCTTGTCATACTTCCCAAGAATCCCTGTTTGGGATCCCCCCCTCACCATCCCCGTACAGCTTTGTCATACAATCATGGCATGGCTTTTGTGCCCAAAAAGATTGCTTTTGCATTACTCTGCCCATAGCTATTCTTGGGTGGCTAATTGACAAATCCCCCTTTGTATCACTAGTCCCCCCTTCTTGGTCCTGCCATGTCTCTTAATTTTTTTATAGCTCTTTTGGGCTATTTTGGGATGGCGGCATCGTGAAACTACCAACCGTTGTTGAACTACATTTTCCATAATCCTCCAACAGCAATTACTCACCTTCAATGTAGACAATGGGAAAAATAAATAACTCAGATGGGTCATAACATAATGATTACCATAAAGATATTTTGCTACAAAATGTAAGGGTTTTTCTTTTAAGTAATTTAATATTGATGATATTATTAAACATTTTTTGTTCTAATAGAAATGAATAAAAGCTAAAGATGGAAGTAGTAAATTTAGGAGTAACTTTGGGAAATAGATCAACATATAAGTTGTAATTTTCATTTCTGCATGAAATTGAGAATGATTATATAAAAAGGTCAGTGTGTATTTTCCTAAGGACCTTAGGGCCATTAATTTTTAGATGGGAGGGACATTTCTAACCTTTACCAGAGAAATTCTTCAACCTTCCAGAGAATATTTCAATATATTCAGCCAGAGTGAATTGCATGTCATTCCTGTAGGGGTGAAATTGTTCACTTCTGTCCTCTCCTGATTCCTCTTCCCAAGGACCCCCTGCCTTGTTTAGCTCTATCCCTTGAACCTTTGATGTGTTGATAATGTTGGTGAAGGTGACAATTCACACCTCTAGAATCTGGTTATAGTCTGAGGGGACAGAGCCATCATTCTCACTAGTCTTCAAGCACTCTAAGAGGAAAAACAGACAGCCATGGACAACTCTTCAGTACCATCCCATCATCTGAACTGTGCTCTAAACCAACATTGTTTTACTTTGCACCAGTGTAGCTACCCACATTCAGAGGGTTACAGCAGTCTTTCTCCAACATCTTCCACAGAATCCTGTGGCCTCTCCCCTCCATATATGACATGCAGAACACCTCAGGACACTTGTGACAATATTTCTGCATGTAATACTTATATAGAAGGTTTACAGATGGACTCTGCATGTGCTTCAAATGGGAAGAACAAGAAAGGCAAGATTAAGCTGGCACATAGTCAACGACAGAGTGCCAGCGAGAGGGAGAAAATGAGAATGAGGACTATCTCTAAAGCTCTGCAGAACCTCAGAAGATATCTTCCACCTTCAGTGGTCCCAACTGACAAAAATCTTACAAAAATAGAAACCCTTCAACTGACGATCCGCTACATCTCGCATCTTTCTGCGCAGCTAGGGCTCAGTGAAGAAGTTCTGGAGCAACGAAGACGGGCAGCAATTCAGGGGACTAACAGAAGCCTACATAATCATATCAGCCGTATGGACCAAAATCACAGAGTTTCTTGGGAGGAAACTGAACAAATCTACAAGTCAGTTTCATGCGCAAGCCCAGTGATTGAAACAGAACATTTTCCAGTTGATAATGATGTACAGAATACGCAAGGAAGTCGCCAGATGCCCTGTCAAGTGCCGCAGACCTCAAAAGTGGAGTCCGGTCCTCCACTATATCAATATCCAGCAATAAACACATCTTTGGCCCAGTCTGAAAATCCGTATTATGGCACAGACTTTCAGGAAATGGTAAGCAGAAAAATGTATAGCATTTTATTTTGTTAAACAAATGTTGAGGTTTGAAACTATATATTATGTAATTCGATTTCCCATTCCTACCCTCACCCTCCCTTCCCTTGGTCATCAATGGGTTAAAACAAAACCAATCATTTTTTGTGCGTTAAATTCAATATATATATATATATATATATATATATATATATAATTTATTAACAAATAATCAAAGAATAACTAGGTAAAAAGGATCTTACAGTTGTTAGTTTATCATAAGTCGTTTTATCCAGAAACCCTTTGGAATTTTTTTTTCTAGTATGTCTATTCTGGGCTAAAATATGCAGTTCCTCTGTCAATTCTCAACAGTTCCGGGTTTAGTTTAATGTATAACCCACAGCAGTTTTAACCAAATGTATATCTGTGGGGCTTATTCACTCAACACCAAATTGTATTGAAAAACAAATTGCCAATGTAGGACAAAACAGCCGATTTTTCTAAATTCTCTAAATTAGCCATATGCACAATTTGGCTTTTTTTTTAGCCAACTAAAGTGGTCTGGGTGCCTATGTCCTGTAATCTCTTCCTATACAGCAAATATGCATTGTACCTCACATATGGATTGGATTTTATCCCAGTTAAATATTTAGAGGGCCACTGAACGTTAGTGCCACATTTGGGCAGACTAGATGGGCCGAATGGTCCTTATCTGCCGTCACATTCTATGTTTCTATTAAAACTAACAATGTCCAATATAGATGGCATCTCCTTGCATAAATGCTAGAAGATTTGTGAAGATTCCCGTTGTCTCACATAATTTTCCATAGATCACATTTACTTTTGTACATATGAGTACAACAGTGACACAGGCAAATGAACCAGCTAGGAACTGAAGCGAGTGGCCCCCCTGGGCACTAATATGCAAGGGGACATGTCACCTTAGGGCATATTTGAAAATACAAAGACCACAAAAGTTAATGGGGTTGTGTGGCCCATGTATAACAAGCTGAAGTGCTTTAGGTGTTTTGGTGGGTCGATTAAAGATGCACAAGGAATTATTATACTTGTTTTGTGAAGCAATGCATCTCTATGCAACTCTATGGGAAGCGGTCAGCGTCTCTATGCAGAAGCACCTCTAGTGGCCGTCTGTGTGATGTAAACACTGTCTTTTTTTTTGAAAAAAAACTGTGTTTACATAAAAAAATCTGCAGGGACAGGCTATAGACACCAGAACAACTACATAAAGCTATAGTTGCTCTGGTGACTATAGTCCCTTTAAACTTTTCTGTCAAGGACCAGAACTGTGTACATGACATTAGCCTAGCACCCTAAACTGAAAAAAATACCTTAGTGGTCCATTCTTCAGGTGTTATAAATGATTTAACATTAAAATGTATTTTGCAAAACCCCTTAATTAGTCTCTTCCTAGTATGAAAGCCTTTGATTAACAGGAGCAATGCTGCTACATTAAACAGCTTATTATGTGCAGTTTCCTGGAGGTTGATGCATACATTTACTTGTTTATATCCATGAGGACCCACTAAAATAGAATGAGAATGCATTAACAGATACTGAATTAGGCGTTAAAACTTACTTCACATGTGGGGACACCAAAGACCAGGTTCCTTTATGGCACACTGCTATCACATCATTAGATGGTCTCATACATCCAGTCCATAGCAAATTGTTTTAGAATGCGCAGTGTGGCTGACCGTGGCTACAGCCACTCAGCCCGTACATGTTCGTGCCAAGCTGACATGCCTCTTTGGCAGTAGGGCCAACCCTTTTTAGACAAACTCACCCCCACTGGCACACAGCTAGAGAACCACCTTTCTTCCAGTCTCAGTTCCTACCTCCCAAATAAGAGGGTATTTTCAGGCATCACAGATTTTATATTTTGAAAATACCTGTAATTACGAAATCTTGTTTGTTATTTTGTAGTCTATTCAAGTACCTAAAATGGATATTAATATCACAGATGGGAATTTCTGTAAAAGTGGAAAAGGTATAACTTTGCAACTGAGTAACTGAAAGTGCAATAAATCATCCTAAATTACCTATTGTTTGGTTTTCAGATTATCTGTGAAGACTACGCAGATCTGAGAGATATTTGGAGAAGAGACGAGCATACTCCCATTGCAAGCATTCTGGAAGAAAAAGACAAAAGAAAAAGACAAATATTACTATAGAAAATTATTTAATTTTCACATATGCATCCATAACAATAATAGCTGTCTTTATTGTATAACATTTTTTTATGTGGCACACTTTTCTGTTGAAATAATATACTAATATGCTGTGAATATTTATAGAATTATACATTTATTTATTAAAAAATATGTATTTTTTTGAAAATATTATCCTTTCATTCATTCATTAATTAAGCAAAACTTTATTTAAAAATGGTAAGTTATTTTGTTTGTAAGCATGTAACATTCTTACATATTTAGGGCTTTTGGAGTCTTGCTGGGTTATTCACTAAAATTATAATGGTTGGCAATTTTAAATTTAAGACCAAACTATTTGAAATCACGGCTGACTTGGAGAATTTATGTAATTCGGCTATTTTCGCCTTAAAGGGACACTACAGTTACACTAGACTACCTACAGGTTAATGTAGTTGTTCTGGTGCGTATAGTATATCCCTGCAGGCTTTTTAATGTAAACACTACCTTTTCAGAAAAAAGGCAGTGTTTACATTACTACCTAGGAACATCTATAGTGGCAGTCAGACGGCCACTAGAGGTGCTTCCTGGGTCAGTGCTGCACAATGTACAGCACTGATGTTCAGAGTCTCCACACCCTGCATGAAGGTGCTGAATGTTCCTCATAGAGTTACATTAATTCAATGCATCTCTGTGAGGAGATCCAGATTGGTGCAGCGCTGAATTTTGCTGTGCATGTACAATAGCCTCCCAATGCTTTCTTAAGGCAATGGCTTGACTGAGATAATCAAGTTTGGATTTTGGGTGGAACCAGCCACGATTAGCAAAAATCACCTTTTACATAGATGTGATTTCACTAAAGGGAGAACTGGTTGGGATTAACAATTAGAATTTTAGACAGGAATAGCTGCATTGGAATCACAGCTGATTTGGAGATTTTTTCTAATTCAACTATTTTGACCTTAAATTTGAAATGCACTTCCAGATCTGAGCCCCAACAAAACATCTATGCTTTAGGTGCAGGGTGGCCCTACCAGATTTTGTTAAACTTCTCAAAACTGTTTGACACAAACAATGGAAGCATGCTACAGGACTCTCTGCAACATTATTATTAAATATAATAGCTATAATAGCTATAATGGTTCTGAGTCCATTGAAAGTCATTTTGAGGACATTGGTTAATGGTGTAGGATTAAGTGAATAAAACGTGTTTTTTTGTTAAACTAAGGGTAGCCAAAAGGTGGGTTCCTGTGCAGCAACTCATTTGATCCTCAAAAGGTTGTTCTAAATAAACTGGGCATCCTTCAACTGACAGCAACAGGTAAAATATTGTGGAAAAAAACATACCCGCAAATATTTTTGAACATGAGGTAAAGCTAGGACTGGACATCCCCATTCCCTGTTTGAGTAGGGGGGTGGCTATTTTTATGCCAGAAGAGTGACCTTTTCTTAGCATTACAAAAAGGGTTGGGACGTGCTGGATTAGATCCATGTCAGGATAAGCACTGTCCAGCAGAGTATATTGCTGGAGGAGCTTTTATTAATAATAATGGGGAATTTGGTATTAACTGGCTCGTGTATTGCGTATCTTTCTGCAATGGATAAACAATGCATACAAGTATATAGTAAAAAAAAAAAAAGGATTAGTAGAGTTATTTGCTAAAGTCAGAATTCAAAGTAAATTTCCAGTCTGAGGCCAAAAAGCTGAGCTAGAAGCACAGCTGTATCAAATTTGTTTACCTTGATTTACATACAATCTATTTTGAATTCTCACTTTTGTGAGTAACCACGAAAGAGCGATGATTTTAGGGAATGGTCCTAACATGAGCTTGCAATCTAGAGAAAGTGGGATAGATACTTTGCAGGCAAGTGGAAGATTTTTTTACAGAAAAATAAATCTTATCTATATTATATGTAGCATATATAGAGGAGTTGAAATAACAACGAAACAGCTGTCCATGAGTGGTTCACTGGCATTGCACCTCTTCCTGAGTTGTGTTTCAAAGCTGTATGCAGCACCCAGAATCCCTTGCAGTAGTGAGAGCACTGTTAAAGTGAGATTTCTGTGGTAAAAGCAAGTCTTATGGCTTGCCTGGTGTGTGTATTTATGTTTAACATTGTATTAACTATCCACTTATTTCAGGTGAAAGGGGTTTTCATCCACACTTTTTCCCTACCACAACTTTTTTGGTATTTACTTATATGTATGATACATATACATAATATTTTTTTTCCTGGGGAAAAAATAAATAAAAATACATATGAATAAAATGTTGATAGAATTGCATTTACTGCAGAATTAGCAGGGATAGACAAAAAATGAAGTTCTGCACATCAAGTAGGTAGTGCACACCCAGATGCTACTGCAGTTTATTAGAGGACACAATATAAACAGTTTGTTTACTACTTGGTGCGCAGAACTCCATTTTTTGTCTGCTTGTTACAGTGTTGGAACTACAGTAAGGAGACCCTGCAGCTGGGATTTAACTGTTCATTACTGTGTTCTTTATCTTTGATAATCGGTGGGCATAGAATTAGCTGGGAGGTTGTGTGCCTGGCACATACACAGGATAAATTTATTGTGAATGAACAGTTGTTCTCTTTACTCATTGATTTAGAATGTGATATTCTATAGGCTGCAGTACAGCCTCTCACCGCAAGGTGGCAGCAGGTCACACACACAGTATACAGTAAATGTGAGATCCCCTCCTGTGATGGCTATTTTCCATCCCCTATTGTGCAGCTTTATTGAGGATGCTGTTCTTTATACAGAGATGTCCCATTGTGCTGGCTGTCTGGCTGCCTTACATGTGATGCTGGCAGTCTCTATACAATGACTGTCTCCCAGTGTGGGGAAGCCTGCACTGTCTGTCATTATATAAACAGTGAACATTCTATTTGGAGCTCGGGTCTCTAACACGTGTTTCTACTCCGCTCTGCCCTCACGCCTTCCCTGGGAGTTGCCATGGTGACGCCCCTTCAGTAGCCTGCGCTCACTTGTTGCCATGGTAACACCGCAGTTTCCTCCCTCCCCCCTCCCTCCCTCCAAAAAGAGAATTGGTAGCTCTCGCGGTATCTGCCCTGCCAGCCCCGGACCCCGGCCGCACAAAGGGACCGGACACTGTGAGACCAGCCTGGGGTAGGTGGTACCATCTCACATACCTAATAGACAACCTCCCTATACCGCGCACCTACTGTAATAACAGCCAACCTCCCTATACCGCGCACCTACTGTAATAACAGCCAACCTCCCTATACCGCGCACCTACTGTAATAACAGCCAACCTCCCTATACCGCGCACCTACTGTAATAACAGCCAACCTCCCTATACCGCGCACCTACTGAAAAAACAGACAACCTCCCTATACCGCGCACCTACTGTAATAACAGCCAACCTCCCTATACCGCGCACCTACTGTAATAACAGCCAACCTCCCTATACCGCGCACCTACTGTAATAACAGCCAACCTCCCTATACCGCGCACCTACTGTAATAACAGCCCCCTCACTACCACTGCCCTGCTCCCCAGATCACTACCCTGCTCCCCAAATGACTACCACTGCCCTGCTCCCAAATTATTACCACTGCCCTGATCCCCAGATCACTACCCTGCTCACCAAATTACTACCACTGCCCTGATCCCCAGATCACTACCACTGCCCTCCCCAAATTACTACCACTGCCCTGCTCCCCAGATCACTACCCTGCTCCCCAAATCACTACCACTGCCCTGCTCCCCAGATCACTACCCTGCTCCCCAAATTACTACCACTGCCCTGATCCCCAGATCACTACCCTGCTCCCCAAATTACTACCACTGCCCTGATCCCCAGATCACTACCCTGCTCCCCAAATTACTACCACTGCCCTGCTCCCCAGATCACTACCCTGCTCCCCAAATCACTACCACTGCCCTGCTCCCCAAATCACTACCCTGCTCCCCAAATTACTACCACTGCCCTGCTCCCCAGATCACTACCACTGCCCTGCTCCCCAGATCACTACCCTGCTCCCCAAATCACTACCACTGCCCTGCTCCCCAAATCACTACCCTGCTCCCCACATTACTACCACTGCCCTGCTCCCCAGATCACTACCACTGCCCTGCTCCCCAGATCACTACCCTGCTCCCCAAATCACTACCACTGCCCTGCTCCCCAAATCACTACCCTGCTCCCCACATTACTACCACTGCCCTGCTCCCCAGATCACTACCACTGCCCTGCTCCCCAGATCACTACCCTGCTCCCCAAATCACTACCACTGCCCTGCTCCCCAAATCACTACCCTGCTCCCCACATTACTACCACTGCCCTGCTCCCCAGATCACTACCACTGCCCTGCTCCCCAGATCACTACCCTGCTCCCCAAATCACTACCACTGCCCTGCTCCCCAAATTACTACCATTGCTCTGATCCTGAATTTACTATCACTACGCTGATCCCCAATATAATGCTGCCTGAGCATCATGGGTACCTTAGGCCACTGTAGCTGTAGTGCCACTGATTAGCCATCATGGCTAGGCTGCCTCCAAGGGTATCAATACTACCTGTCGACAGACACTGGAGGAGATATATCAAAGTGTTCTGATCTAAAAAGTGGTGGAAAAATATAAAAATTGGGGATCTTTTAAATCTATGCAATATGCCTACTGGTTCCACTGGTATCCATGACAATTGCTTCACTTTTAGTACATTACACCAATATTTAGTGCAGAATACATGGATTGCCATTAATTTACTTCAAACTGCTTGTAAACAATGCATGTTCTTTTAGGTCTTTTGCTCCCAGTGAACGCATTGGTACAGGATACAGCAACAAGTTTAAAAAAACGTGATGTTACTGATTGCAGAGTACCTTGCCAAGAGCAGATGAAAAATAACAGATGAAATTAGTATCTTTTAAACTTTTTTTTATTGGCTGATCAGAATTTTGGAACTACAAGCTTTTGAGAGATACTCGCCTTTTCAGTTCTAAAAGGGGAGGTTCTTCTGAAATCTTGTTGTTCCAAAATTTTGTTAGTCCAATAAAAAATTTATTACAAGACACTAATTTAATGTTTGTTTGTTTTTCTGCATCATTAAACTAATACAGCTAAAATTTCTACTCCTAAGTCAAACGCATCATATTTCAGAAACTGCCAATATGTGTGTGTATGTATACATTATCTTTACTTTGAGAGTGAAGCCAATTAAAGTGCAGCCTGTTACACAAGTGATTCACTAAACAGTGAGTTCACAACTCCCTGGTTTGCGTATTTTAGGCTAAAATAGTCTACATGGAAATATAGAGTTGGAGAATTTTTAAAATTTGACTATTTTGGCATCAGTTCTCTGCAATTCTTGGTTTAGCAAATACGCCTGCATGGTTTATTCACAAAATTCTTGAATTTTAGGTAATTAAAAATTCAAATAGCAAAATTGAGGTTAAAATCATCAAGCTTTGACAGTAGCTGAGCTGTAGAATTTTTTGAAATAAATAATTTTAGCCTCAACTTTGCCATCCCAATTAAGTGAATAAGACAGCCTGTATAACTTGCAAAATGAAAGGAAAAATTAAAGGGAACCAACAATAATTTTGTTTTTGGGATTATAGGTTCCCTTCTATTGATGTGATCGCTATCCTCCCCCCCCTTTTGTCTGTGAAAGCGAAGTCTAAATAATATTACTTACCCCATTTCCAGCCCTGAGACTCCTCCACTGAAGCCTTCAGCTCCATGTCTGTTGACATCACAGCTTATCTGCTGACATCACCCACGATCTTGACTAATCAAATGCTTCTCATCCCCATGCTTCTAATTGAGAAGCAAGGGGATGAGAATTTATGCAATAAAAAAAACTATCAGCAGCATTTGATTTAAGAACCAGGTTTTACTTGTTTATGGAAACTGAAACGCCTCTAGTGGCTGTCAGAAAGATAGCCATTTCAGGCGTACTTAACCCATTAATGTAAACGGCAAGGTTTTACATGAAAGAGTTAAAATTACAGGACCTCTGCAACCAGATCACGTCATTGAGATGAAGTTGTCTGGGTGACTTTAGTAAAATAAAATTAGGGTGGATTGTTTTATTCCAGGATTCTCTCCAATATATATATTTAATATTTAAATATATATTAAAGCATTTAATATATAAGGAGCTTTGTTGCCCCATCAACTTTTGAATGCAAGAAAGAATGGGAAATGTGTAAATTAGTCTGGAATTAAAGTGGTTGCAAGGTAGTGTTCTGTAAAAACTGTTTTAAATTCATGCAAACACGTGTAATTTATTCTGTTATTAATGGTGCAAATTGTTTAAGATAATCAGTTGCAATCTTTTGTAAAGTGATCAAAGCAAGCCTTGGTTTAGTTGTTAAGCTGAATTGTTGACCAATTAACTAGAAGGAAGTGTTTGTGATAGCATTGGTGGTAAAATGACAAATAAAGATGGCAACACGCTCCAACTGTTTAACCCCTTAAGGACCAAACTTCTGAAATAAAAGGGAATCATGACATGTCACACATGTCGTGTGTCCTTAAGGGGTTAAAGGAAGTCCTCCATTTTTATGTAGAATAGGAATGTGTCCCAGCAATTCAGTGAAGCATGCTATGACACAATCTCCCCCATGCCCATGAGTTCACTGATGAATTTTGCAGGAAATATAGGTGTTCATTGCCCCTTTCAAGAGCTTTGCTGTAGTGACAAACCCTATTACAGTTCATGACACTTCAATACCTCTTTATTCTTTGATTTACATGCATTGCTAGAAGTATTTTTTTATTTTTTTTAACCCTTGACTGCTCAAGTGTCACAAATCGGGTTAATTAACATGTGATAAGTGTTACTAAATAAAACGGCAGCTTGCAATCCTACACATCACATGTCTGATTCCATTGGATAATGTCCATTATATACATGTAATTATGGCTGTCATGTATTTTGGCGAATAATTTTGCTCTTTATTTGAGTTAATACTTGTTAATTCTTTCTAGGTATACACCCTAAGCTTGTAAGTTAAAATAATGGCAACTCCAACAGCAGTGAACCCAACTGGTGAGTGTAAACGCTCCTCCGATCACAACACGCTTTATTGTTTTCTAATATTTAATTTTTGCAATGGATGCAATCAAGTGTAACAATTGCCATTTTTAATGTTATCATTTGTTCCCAAGTCTAAAATGTTGTGCTGCACAGTAGAATTAGAGAAATTATATAATTGTGTGCAGTATTGAAAATGTGCATTTGTAGAAAGTTCTCTGAAAGGGACACTGTCACTATAACCATTTCATCTTGTTGAATTATTTATAGTGCCTGGAGTACCTTGGAACTGTCTCTCCATTCATTCTTAAACCATTTTCGAGCAGTTTAACACTAAACAAATATCCCTGGCTTTCCACAGCCTGGTCCCTACTAGAGGTGTGGCTAAGGCAGAGATTGTACACTTCCTTGTATTCATATCTATTCATACTGTTAACCAAACAGCCAATACTGTCTGAAAAGTCTTTTCCAATGATCAGAGGTCGGAATAGTGGAAGTATAGGATCACAACTTTATTGCAATAGAGGAGAAGCAATCAAAACTGTTTCTGAGAGCATACACATTAAGATCTTGAATATATACATGATATCAGTGAATGAGAATAAAAAAAAAAGTAGAAAGTAACAGTGTTTTACAGTAATGATACTGCTAAGCAATTATACTGCTAAGCATACCCTTTTGCCTATTAACCCTTCTATTACCAGACAGCAAGCTTATCCAATATATTATCACAAACTTACAGGTGGCTGGCGCCCATGCCGCTCCTCTCTTCTGGCGACGCGGGCAGAACGCTCCACGAGGCTATGCGGCCTGAATAGGTGTATAATAGGAATAAATTATGTTTATTTTATTAGGAGCTGCAGTTTAGCCCACAAACCAGCATAGGGAGCAGTTCGCGGACCAAACTGCAGCTCCTAATAAAAAATAAATTATTGCCATGAAGTCACACACTTATAGTGACCGCGTCATCTAGATGACCCTATGCTGTTTGGGGTTGCAGAAATGACGTGGACCGATTGGAACTCTTTTGAATCTGTTTAAGGTCTGTTCTAGCCCTTGTGCTAATAGTCTCTCTTGTTATATTCCTGATATCGACCTCGGCTCGTATTTGACTTTTGATTTCTGGTATCCTGACTCTGCTTCGTATTTGACTTGTGAATTTCTGGTATCCTGACTTGGCTTCATATTTGACTCGTGAATTTCTGGTATCCTGACTCGGCTTCGTATTTGACTCGTGAATTTCTGGTATCCTGACTTGGCTTCATATTTGACTCGTGAATTTCTGGTATCCTGACTCGGCTTTGTATTTGACTTGTGAATTTCTGGTATCTTGACTCGGCTTTGTATTTGACTTGTGAATTTCTGGTATCCTGACTCGGCTTTGTATTTGACTCGTGAATTTCTGGTATCCTGACTCGGCTTTGTATTTGACTCGTGAATTTCTGGTATCTTGACTCGGCTTTGTATTTGACTCGTGAATTTCTGGTATCTTGACTCTGCTTTGTATTTGACTCGTGAATTTCTGGTATCCTGACTCTGCTTCGTATTTGACTCGTGACTTTCTGGTATCCTTACTTGGCTTTGTATTTGACTGGTGAATTTCTGGTATCTTGACTTGGCTTTGTATTTGATTTGTGAATTTCTGGTTTTCTGACTAGGCTTCGTATTTGACTCGTGAATTTCTGGTATCCTGACTTGGCTTCGTATTTGACTTGTGATTTTCTGGTATCCTGACCCGGCTTTGTACATACTATGTGTATTTCTGTATTAAGGAACCTGGATTACCCTGACCTTGTTTTTCTCGCTATATTAATACGTTAAGTCTGGCCACTCTAAGGCTCGGTAATACGCCTTTCGTATCCACCTTTTGTGGGTTTCCACTCTTTCTGCATGTTGGGTTATGACTCCCGGGACATTTATCAACTGCATTATACTGGTTTGCATTTTAGTCTTAAATAACTATATATATGTGAAAAACCCCTGCACTCCAACCAAAAAATCCAAAATACCTGGTGCTCTGGTTGCTGGAACATAAATGAGGAAAGATACCGGCACTCCAAGGATTTATCATTCAAAAGTTCTTCTTTTATTTAAGAAAAAATCGACGTTTCAGCTCCCCTAAGGAGCTTTCATCAGGACACAAAACATCATAAAACTGATATCAGCTTATATAGGACATGCAAGTAAGTGAAATAGGTACTTACTGACAGGTGATCTGCATTCCCATCGGTCGCCAGACCCGCCGTGATTGCCTGCTCGTTCGCTGAGACTTCCGAATTAGAGGTCACCTGACCGCATGGTGAAATAAATGAATATGTCCCTTTGGCCTAACAAAACATGTTGCTAGGGCAACCATAGACGCCTTCATCTCATTGGTTGCGCCTGCAAGTACGGATGCCGATCGGGGAAAAAATAAACAAACACTGCTAAGTCAGGATATCAGACAGAACGAGCGTTGTGATGCATGTCCTATATAAGCTGATATCAGTTTTATGATGTTTTGTGTCCAGATGAAAGCTCTTTAGGGGAGCTGAAACGTTGATGATTTTTTCTTAAATAAAAGAAGAACTTTTGAATGATAAATCCTTGGAGTGCCGGTATGTATATATATATATATATATATATATATATATATATACACACACACACACACCACCACCCCCCCTTTGGGCCCCCGGGCAAAATTAGATCCAAGGCCCTTTGAAGGCCAAATATATGTGCATTAAATAAATGTTAAATATAACTCTCATATAATATGGCGTGAGGGAGGGGGTGACTGGTGACAGTGAGGGAGTGACTCCCTATCTTTTCCTTGCTCCTCTCCCCATCTCCCCCTTATTTCCTCTCTCTCTCTCTCTCTCTGCTCCCACTGGTCTCCCCGGCTGCGGCTCCTTCCCCTCGCTGGCTGTGAGAGGGCTCTGTGTGTGAGGAGAGTACAGGAAGTGATGTCACTTCCTAGCCCCGCCTCTCCCCATCACACAGAGTGCCGCATGGGACAGGAAGAAGGACACCTGACAGAGAGCAGGTAATGCTGCCAGGTCTCATTTTTAGAGAGGGAACGGGGGGGTAATGTGCAGAGTAATAGGTTGCTGGGGCCCGGTGCTCCATCAGGGGCTCCACAACCTATTGAGGGAAGAGATTTTTAAGAAATTTGCCAATCAAGTTGGAGAAATCCCTAATTTCTAATGACCGATGTGCCCAAGTGGTCAGTCCGCCCCTGGATGTATATATATGTGTGTGTGTATATATAATTTCTTCATACCAGAGGAAGAGAGGAAAACTCTCAAAAGCTTGTTTTTTAAAGGAATACTATAGGATCTGGAACACAAACATGTATAGTGTTAAAAAGTTTTGGGGGCATGGCTACAATGTTAAAGAGCCACAATATTAAAAGGCTCCTAGGGCATTAATAATTTCTCTGTTGAGATTCAAGTTGTGGTTCACGTTTGTTCCCAATAAGCGCGTTATTGTTGTGTATTCCTGGTTCTGACTTTGGCTTTGATTGACTATTCTACCTTCTATTCTCCTTTGACTCGGCTATTGTGTTTTTTTTTCTCCCTAAATATAGTGAAATCTTACCTTTATTCCAGTCTGCTGGTGCTTGCTCTGCCCTTGCTCTGCGTCCTTGGCTGATATAATCAGAATTGATGATTTGCTATTCAGATAATATCAGCCAAAGAGGCAGGTTAGGACAGGGGCAGAGCCAAATGCTGCCCTGTTCAATCAGCATCCCCTCGTAGAGATGCATTGAATCAATGCATCACTATGAGGAAAGTTTTGTGTCTCAATGCAGAGGGTGAAGACACTCACATGCCCCAAGGGGCACCTCTAGTAGCCATTTGAGAAGGGGCCACAAGAGGTTTCCCTAGGCTGTAAAAGACTCTCTGAACAGACAGTGTTCACTGCAAAATGCCTGCAGGGACTGACTATACACACCGGAACAACTACATTAAGTTGTAGTTGTCCTTTTGACTATAGTGTCATTTTAAAGCGCTTAATGTGATATCCATGATATTTGCCCCATTGATGAGAGTGCTGATGGCTAAAAGCAGTTAGCTGACACTGTCAGCCAATTGCAGATGCTGATTGCTGCTCAGGCTCAGGCATTAAGTTGTAGTTGTCCTTTTGACTATAGTGTCATTTTAAAGCGCTTAATGTGATATCCATGATATTTGCCCCATTGATGAGTGTGCTGATGGCTAAAAGCAGTTAGCTGACACTGTCAGCCAATTGCAGATGCTGATTGCTGCTCAGGCTAATACTTCTTCTTTAGCCAAAGCAGCACTTAGGGGAAGGGCTTCTGGGGAATCTTGCTTGGCATTAAAATATAAAACCCTTTTAATGCTCAAAGGGTAGTACCATGTGACACCAAACACTCTAACCAGTTCAATGAGATGAAGCACGTACAGTTGCTACAATGTCCCTTTAAATTGTTGTAACGTTTAATGTTTTTGGTGCAGATAGTATGTGGCTGACATTCTAGTTTTTTGTGAACTATTTGGGTGTGGTTTGACAAAATCGAGGGCTCTTCTCAGCACCCAGAGATGGCCCCTCATCAGCTCAATGGATAAATGAATTTCCAAAGCTTTCTCTATGTTAACTTCAAATCTAAGCAGCTCTCTCACAGACTCTTTACACCAAGCATGTCAAACTCGCGGCCCGTGGGCTGCATGCGGCCCACAAGGACCATCTTTGCTTCGAGTGCATGCTCCGTGTTATAGCAGAGTAGGCACCTGGTTTCCCCACATTGCAGGTGCCTACTCTGCTAACACTTACCCGGCCGAGGAGAAGGGCCAGCGAGGGAGCTCAGTGTTCCTGCTCCTCACTGCTCCCTCACGCACGCTGACTGAAGTGAAGCTGGGCGCCGGAATATAACGTCATATTCTGGCACCTGGCATCACTAAACCGCGTGCGGGAGCAGTGAGGAGCAGGAAGGACTCCAGGGAGATGCCCCCATCGGTTCCATAAGGTAAGGAGCAATAAAGAAAAGTATGTGTTTGTGTGTCTGTCAGTCAGTCAGTCAGTGAGTGTGTGTGTGTGTGTGTGTCTGTCAGCAAGTAAGTGTGTCAGTGTTAGTGTGTCTGTCAGTGAGTATATGTGTCTGTCAGCATGTGTGTGTGTGTCTGTCTGTGTGTGTGTGTCTGTCTGTCAGTGAGTATGTCTGTGTGCGGCCCACATAAACTTAAACCTTGAGTTTGACATGCTTGCTTTACACCATAACCACTATAGTGTGCTGTAAGGGCAGCTCGTTTGTTTACTTATTTATTTAGAAATATATGTTTTTTCAGACAGGAAAAAAAATTAAGATTTCTATTGTTGTCACGCCCTCAGGAGCATGAAGAATACAATGTTACATTACAAGTGTGCACATTTAAAGCAAATACATTATGAATAATTGAACCTTAGCAGTTATAACTGGTAAATATATATGTTGAAAGATATAAAATGGGCGCTGTTATCTTTTAAATAATTTCTTAATATTACCACAGAAATAACAGTAGCATAATGTTACACTCTTTTAAACCCTTGATCGATTGTTTCATTGTCATTGTTTGTCTTGTCCTAATACATTTAAGGAAGAGTGCAACAAATACACGTCTAAACAATAGTTTCAATAGTGACAGAAATATTTAATATTTTTTTAGTTTGGTGTACATCATGTATGTGCAGGCACAGATATGCATAATATGTAAACCATATTAAAGGGACACTATTGGCACCCAGACCACTTCATTTCAAAGAAGTAGTCTGGGTGTAGTGTCCCTATCCCGCTTAATCCTGCAATGTAAACATTGCCATTTTTTTTTCTTTAAATGGCAATGTTTACACTGCAGGGTTAATTAAAATCAGTATCAGCAAATCAGTATGATAGCCACCAGAGGTACATTTAAGGGACAGACCAAGTAAAACTTGGTCAGGTGATGTGGAAGCCCCATAGAAAAGCACTAATTCAATGCTTCGACTCACTGCTCATACTGCAGTTGTTATGGTGCTACGAGTGCACTGGCATTCCCACAAGTGTCATTTTAGAACTGTTTGACTTCTTACCTGGGTTCCACTGGGCACTCCTCCCTGCCTCCACTGCAGCCGGAAGCTCTCAGCCCTGAGCTAAACCGGACAGTGCAGTTTAGAATAATCATGTTAGTCGTTAATATAGGATATGATAGAAACATAGAATGTGACGGCAGATAAGAACCATTCAGCCCATCTAGTCTGCCCAATTTTCTAAATACTTTCATTAGTCCCTGGCCTTATCTTATAGTTAGGATAGCCTTATGCCTATCCCACGCATGCTTAAACTCCTTTACTGTGTTAACCTCTACCACTTCAGCTGGAAGGCTATTCCATGCATCCACTACCCTCTCAGTAAAGTAATACTTCCTGATATTATTTTTAAACCTTTGTCCCTCTTATTTAAGACTATGTCCTCTTGTTGTGGTAGTTTTTCTTCTTTTAAATATAGTCTCCTCCTGTACTGTGTTGGTTCTCTTTATATATTTAAATGTTTCTATCATATCCCCCCGTCTCGTCTTTCCTCCAAGCTGTACATGTTAAGATCCTTTAACCTTTCCTGGTAAGTCTTATCCCGCAATCCCACAGACCACAATCTCAGTGAGACGGCAAGGAACACCTGGAACTACTATAGAAAGGGCAACCCGGGAGGCACAAATAGAGGAAGCCCACTACATAGACAGGAACCTAACAACTGCAGTGGATCGGGGGGGACAAAACACAACTGCCACGGACCACTTAGGGACGGGGGCATCTCACCACATAAAAGGGGATAGACTGAGCAGGGCACGCTGATAACCACACATGCTGCACAAATAGTAGCCAGAGGGCAAGAGATAAGACCAGAACTGTGTCAGCACCCTACACCTAGAAGGAATGTGGGTCACCTGTTAAACCTTATAATGTCTTGATGGGACCTGCGAGTCCTCTTTGTGCTTGGGGCCTGCGAGCGCACATTGTAACATACCTATGCAAAACCGATGGTCTCCCCCTTGTTTTTGTCGGATGACGGACCTGCGATTCCAGTCAATGTACTTGTTAACTGTCATTTTCCCAAAACGGTGAAACAATAAAAATTATGTTTACAAAAAAATTAATTAAATAAATGATTTTACTCACTTTTTATCCAATGAATATTCTCCCTCTGCACTGTTGTCCGCAAATGATTGCATGATCCCATCGTGTAGTCATGTTTACAGGATTATGGTTCAAACCAATGCTCCTTATAGAGGAGCATTGGAGACCATGGGCGCATGCCTATACATGCAATGATTTTCTATAGCAACCTGTGATGGCACTGCACATGCGCGCATGACATCATGGTATGCCTGGGTTTGAGAACTGGGAAATAACAGTTCTGGCTCTCCAGATGGATTGGAAGTGTGGCTTGAAGACATGCTTCCAAGCCTTCTATTTATTAAAGTAAAATATTTTGTTGGCACTTAGCAGTAGGAATCTACTGTAGGCACTATAACAACTTCAAGTGAATTATGTTGTTATAGTGAGTATAGTGCTAATCCAACATGTTTTTACAGTTTTATTTATTTGGGTTCCAATGCTAATAGACCCCCCCCCCCCCTTAAAACGTAAAAAAAGAGAGTTAAAACTTAGATTGATTTAGTCCTGTGCCTGGTAAAGCTCCCAGCGCTGATCTTCCTCCTCTATTAGCAAGGGCCTAGCGCAGTCCATTTAAGTGCTACTCAAAGAGGAATGGAGGGATTTTCTTTAAAAAAAAAAAAAGTGATTTAAGTAATGGAGGGAGGCGGGGTGGACTGCACAGAGGGAGATGCCTGCAAAGGAGAAGATTGTTACGTCGGTTACCAACATGCAGTGTGACCGACGTAAATTTTGTACAGAATTGATATTTGCTCACGGGCACTGGAGAAAATCTCTCTGAAACTCTGCTCATCCAGACTTCAGCCACTATGACCACTTCAAATTACTGAAGTCGTCATGGTGGTTGGAGTAACTCTTTGATATAGGACAGGGATATGCAACCTTTTAGCAGCACTGTGCCGAAATAAGATTGTGATGTCCTGTTTTTTTAAAATTGAGGTGTGTATGTTGCCATATCCTGCTTGTGTTATTAATACTGCAGTTGCTTTGTATCATTGTATTTGTGCGTATATGAGCTATCATGTTGTATATGTTCACAAGTAGCTTGTTGTGTTGTGTATGATACCTATGGATGTAGACTGTGTATGGGAGCTGCTTGTGGAATTGTGTGTGGATGGATATGCACATTGTGTGTTTGGTAGTGTGTGTATGTTTAGGGTATTGCATGTGAGAGGCTGCATGTGGGGTCGTGTGCATGTATGTGGATTGTTAGTGGTGTTGAGTTTGTGAGGATTGTGTGTATGTTTGTGTGTGGGTTGGCTGTTCGTGTTATTTGTATAAGGGTAGGGTTATTCTGCATTTCTGTATATATCTAGCAGTGTGGATGGCTTCCCTGGGCTCCAGTGGGGACCGTGCTGGCCAGGTACAGGTCAGGGACAGGAGCTGCAAGAGCAGCTTCGGACTGCTCTACTACACTGTGGATTCCCATTCCATCTCAGATCACTTCCTCTATGTGCTGCAATGCATGCATTGAGGATTGTCCTTCACCACCTCATTGTATTAGCAGATATCTGAAGTTTCACTGGGACTCCTGATAGGCCAGAGTCTGTTTGGCTCTAGCAGCCTTGAGTGCCGTGCAAAGACACCTCGAGTGCCGTGCATGGCACACTTGCCATAGGTTGCCTACCCCTGATATAGGATATGATAACCATATTCTAGATGTTAATATATGATAGCCTTTTTAGTAGTAATTATAGAATATGATATCCATGTTCTAGTCATGTTCTAGTGATATCTAGTCCTTAAAGGACCACTCTAGGCACCCAGACCACTTCAGCTTAATGAAGTGGTCTGGGTGCCTGGTCCAGCTAGGGCTAACCCATTTTTTCATAAACATAGCAGTTTCAGAGAAACTGCTATGTTTATGAATGGGTTAAGCCTTCCCCCTAATCCTCTAGTGGCTGTCTCATTGACAGCCACTAGAGGCGCTTGCGTGCTTCTCACTGTGATTTTCACAGTGAGAGCACGCCAGCGTCCATAGGAAAGCATTATGAATGCTTTCCCAAGTGACCGGCTGAATGCGCGCCCAGGAGGAGGATCGGAGGAGGAGAGCTCTCCGCCCAGCGCTGGAAAAAGGTAAGTTTAACCCCTTTTCCCCTTTCCAGAGCCGGGCGAGAGGGGGTCCCTGAGGGTGGGGGCACCCTCAGGGCACTATAGTGCCAGGAAAACGAGTATGTTTTCCTGGCACTATAGTGGTCCTTTAATATAGAATATGATAACCATGTTCTAGAATCTAGTCGTTAATTTAAGATACTATAAGCATGTTTTAGTTTTTAATACAGGATATAATAGCCATGTTCTAGTAGTCCTTAATATACAATATGTTAGCTATGTTCTAGTCTATATAGTGATAGAAATGTTCTAGTGCTCAGTATATTTGTATAACGTGATGGTCATATGTTAGTCCTTCCTATAAACCTCAAGTGTTTTGACTTGAAGTATATGATGTATAATGTAAAATATTTATTTATGTTCATTATTATATAATACGATTACCATGTTTTCATTTCATGTCATGGAAAATGTTTTCGTCCCTATAATATGAAGTAATAGCAATGTTTTGCTGCATATTATTTGATATAATAGCCTTGTTATATTCCTAATGTTATCTAATAAGTGTTTACGTCGCAATTATTAGATGTAATAGCTATAGTCTGATCCTTATGATGTAATATCCATGTTCTTATTATGTGGTTGAATCTGAATGTCTTAATGTCTACAATGATGGCTAGGGGTTTGTCACAAGTTTTCTTTAGCACAATTTATTGTATGAGCCTTGCGACCTGTTTGATTCAAGTAGAGCTTTAGAAAGGCTGGTTTTGTTTGGAATCTTGTATAGGGACGGTTCTGCAGGCAGCAGGCTGAATTACCAATCACGTTGTTGAGAGGCAGATAGGGATGTTGTCTTGTTCTGAATACAAATGCTGGTCCCCCTCCTCCACCTCAGGCATTTGTATCAGGGTTCTTGCATACTGATGATGCCTTCTGTCTCAGCACAAGGGTTTCTGTCTTGGAAAGAAGCACCGTCCAGTCTTTCTTTTTTAATTATTTAGAAAGAAAAAGGTAAAAGATTTCTGGGTGTTGATGGTTTAGAAATATGAAGCTCAAATTATATATGTTATTTTAAACAAGATTCTCTTTAACATTGCTGTTCCTAGTCTTTTGTCTGAAGCTACGATAGGGCATGAGATCGGACTTAACTAGTGTTCGCTAGAAAGATTGTGCCGTGCTACATAATTGCCAATTCATTCCGGTAGAAAGAGGACCTGTATAACAAAAGACCTAGGTCTTTAAAGTAATCTTCCAGTAGATTTGCCTTCACTGCACGCTTATGTGCAAGTAACAGCAGATAGGCCAATAAGCTTGTCTTGCAGATTTGGGGGTGGCTGCTGCAAGAAGAGTTAGTTCGTGACTGAAATGCTGCCTGAAAGATAAAAGCTAACTGTTACGGTTTTATTTCTGTTCAGAATCTCCTTTTTTGGTTCTCTACAATATTTCTATGTATTCGGTATTGGTGGAAGACCATTCACTTTGTCATAAGGTATTTTTAATTTTATTGTAAGCTGCATCAATGAAATGTACAATGCACAGGAGGGTATTGATTGGAATTAGCTGTTCTATTAATGCAATGTTTAGCCATTAACTCATCATTGTCCATTGTTTGCAGAAATGACTACAGATATCCCTGGATCAGTGAGTTTGCCAGGTGCGGCAATGGCAGCAGGGCAGGTGAGGATGGCAGGACCCATGCCAGCTCGGGGAGGAAAACGGCGGTCAGGGTAAGTGGACAATACCTTGAGACCATTCCAAGTTGTGCATATGTTTTGGGGGCATTCAGTGAGACCCAGTGAAAAAATGTGCAGGGGTGTGTAGAGAGCTAGTAATGTAATAAATTAAACCTAACTTTGCTATTATTCAGATACTCAAAATATAAATATAGCTACAGGAGGAAAAGCTGGAATATAATCTCTGAATGCTTGCTTGTAAGTAAATTATTTGAAGATGTGTTGAGAGAAACACTGTTCTTATGTGAATATGTTTCTGTCTTCGTTACATGCATTCTAGCAATTAAGGGATTGTGTCATAAAAATGTTTGCCATGTTGGGGAGGGCGGTGCCTGACCGCCATGCCGACCGGTCAGGCATGCGGCAGAGGCTCCTGCAGACTCTATTTCGGCTGATAATCTGGGCTCTTAACCCTACTCTAAGCCAGAAGGGAACAGTACAGTACACAAGCAATTGTTGGCGCCACTGCAGACTCCGAGATCAGGAGTTTCGGTGCCCCCCCAGGTTACACAAAGCTTTGGAGCCTGCAGCCTACTCAGGGGAAGATCAGGACGGACGGACGCCGCCCTGTTCACCTACCTGGCTGCCACACAATGGATCTCTGATACTCCTCACAGGCCCCTTCCCCCCCCCTTGGAACAGAGGGGGTTATCCCGGTCCCCGCTGGACGGGTCCGGGGCTGATGTCAGCAAGCTTGGCTGAGATTGCCTCAATGTCCTGGAACCAAGATGGCCACCGCAGTAATTCCCGCTGGATCGGCCTGACACCCTGAGCTATGCCTTGGCCCAAGAGGTCTCACTACCGTGCCAGCATGTCCTGGAGAGTCTGCGAGAGCTCGTGACCACACTGCACATTTGACACCGTTGCCCAGCTGCTGCCTCTCGCTTACCCAAGCCTCTAGCCAAGTGGAGTGGAAGTCTCCAACGCAGCCTTATACCCTGAAGGGTGATCGCCAACGCTAAGACCACCGAGTAAGCCACCACCATCACGGCTCATTGAAGGACTGGACCTGAGGGCATCTGATGTCGGCTTGTATTGAGCTCACTACGCTAACAAAGCCTGTCTGCAATCACCCGCAGGACGAACTGGGGGTATGGTTGGCCCGGTGACCTCTTGTGAGAGGGCATTTTATTTAAGTGCTGAGCTATTGTATGTATGCCCAATTTTGCAGTATCACCCTGTTTAACCTCTCACTAGCGGGTAATCATCCAGATATATTTTGTTTTGCTGATTTCACTTAGGGGGCTCATGTCCAGCGGTACCATTATTGTTTCTATCTGTTACAGGCAGTCTCGTATACACTTAGCAGGTTATATTATAATCACAGTTTAGCAATTTCTTTAGTACTCCTTACTTTATGTAGCTATCCTAGCATACTGTAGACCCTTGTACTAGAGATGCACCATGCATAACCGGCTTGTATTGCATGTCTTTATCTGGCATTTCTCTTAGACTCACCTGTCTGCAAGTTATCATACAAATTTCCTAAAGATCTGTGTGACTACTCTATGTGCCATGCAATTTTTCTTAGTTTACACATGTTTCTTATCTTGTTATTAATTTAACATAAAAATGTGCAGTTTCTATTAATTCCATGATAATAATATCTTTTGCCTGTTTTCACTATGCTTGCTATAGTTGTCGTGGTGTATCAAGCTTCTTTGTTCACACATGCACAATAAAAATAAAGAATAAAAAAAAATGTAAAAAATGTTTGCCAGGTCAAATAAAAAAATGAAGATACCCATTTGGGTTCAACCAGCCATACATGTAGATTGGTATTGTGGGAAAGATAATCAACAAGAGCTGCTGTGGCAAACATTAGACATGAGAGATAGCTGGACACAATTTAGGCTCTGTAGGTTCACCTAAGCTATAATTCCAGATTAATATTTGAGTCATTTTTGCCCCAGTTCTGAGCATTGCTTTTGAAATTTACAAATAAATACATTTGTAACTGATATTGATTTAATTTCGAGTTATAAAAAATCTCAATAGTGACGATACCTTAACCTGTCGTGCTTTTCTCTGGCAGGTTCTGCAGTGTTTAGAAGTTATGTTACTCATACATTTATTATTACAATCTCCTTCCATTATCTTTATAAGATGTCCAAGTTGAGAGCTTTCAGTTGATGATGTTGATAGTTTTTAAAACAGCTGTGCGGTGGGTTGCAGATTTCCCGTGTCAGGGCATAGCAGCATGAAGGGGAAGGGTCAGGGCAAGAAATTCAGAGTGGTGGAAAGTGGAAGATAAGTGTATGCTGGTAACCGTGCTTGACAAATCCAGGCGCTACAGTGAAACAGAATCTATGCTGGCAGTGTAACTGACAGGAAGCCAGCCTCTACCTTTCCATCAGTTGTTTGTGAATCTTTGCTGGTACTGTAGTGTTAGAATTTGGCAGTTATGTTCCAGCTGGCTGAGTGTGTCCTTGTTCTCTATTAGTCTTGCATGTTTAAATCAATCTTTATTTCAGAGACAACCATATCATCCTTCACATACAAAGTCACTTGTGTTACTGAGTATTTGTTTCATGTTTTATGTTTAACATCGAAAAATGAAATATTATAATATAATATAAAACAACATTAGAATAATATTGGAAGCAAATCAATGATCAAATACTAACAATTACAAACGAGAACAAGAATTAAAAAAGGGAAAAAAAGTGGGGGGTACCATTATGATAAGACCAACCTCAACCTACTGGCAACTGTCTATATGTTGCTGAGGAGGTTAAGTCCTGACAAGTATCCCATATTTTATAACAGGATGGCAAAGCATTATGCACCATGGTCGTTAGATGGTCCGTTATGTGATTTTCATCTATTTTAGCTGTGACCTCTCTGATTGAAAGGGCTGGCCAAAGCCCTTCTTGCTGCTAAGGTTATTTTATTAAATTATATATTGTTGTGCCTAATCATTAAATTCATGAAGCACCAATATCCAAAAGTAATAACCAATACCTAATAAGGTTTAAAGCAATATTGGCGGGTACACAACCCAGTTCGGGATGAGTATCTTGAACTATAGGAAAGAGAAATCACACAGAGACCAAGTTGAATATAAGAATTCACATCACACTTTATTATCCATAAAGGGGCCCAATACAATATAAGTGGTATTCTCATTTAAGTTATTGCATGCATTCACATCAAACAGCTTATTATCTAGATATCAACTTAAGTATACATCACCATTAGAGAAACTTAGTTGTCACCAGTGGTGTATCCTGGTTTTGTGCTGCCCTAGGCAGGTAAAACTCAGGCCCCCCCTCCCCAACCCCCCCACGCGCGCGCGAACCCCACCCATCCCTTCCCCCCCGCCTTCTAAATACACACACACACATACTCACTGACCGATACGCATACACTAGCTAACAGAAACACAAACTCACTGACACACACAGACACTCACTCACTAGCAGACACACACTAGCAGACATACACACACACACTCACAGGCAAACATACACACACAGTCAGACACACAAACACTCACTGACACACACTCACAGGCAAACACACTCACACTAACAGTCAGACACACACACACTAACAGTCAGACACACACACACTCACTAACAGACACACACACTCTCACTAACAGACACACACACTCACACACACACTAACAGACACACCCACTCACAGACACACTCACACACACACTAACAGACACACTCACTAACAGACACACTAACAGACACACTCACACACACACTAACAGACTCACACACACTAACAGACACACACACTAACACACACACTAACAGACACACTAACAGACAAACTCACACACACACTAACAGACACTCTCACACACACACTAACAGACACACTCACACACTCACATTAACACATTTTTTTTTTTAACCTCTCCCCTCCAGCCTCCTTACCTTTGGGAATGCTGGGGGATTCTCCCTTGGGGTCCAGTGGCTGCTGGGCGCTGGTGGGCGGCTGGCGAGGGAGCACTTCCTCTGAGCGGTCTGCTCAGATCCCTCGCGCGCCTCAGAGTGAGGCTGGGAGCCGGAATATGACGTCATTAACCCGGCTCCCAGCCTCACTCTGCGGCGCGCGAGGGAGCTGAACAGACCGCTCAGAGGAAGTGCTCCCTCGCCAGCCGCCCGCCCGCTCGCTCGGCATGTCTGTTAGCCACAAGGCGAACAAGGCATTTGCCCTGGGCATTTGGGGGGCATCTTTTTTTGCCGCCCCCTGGAAAATGCCGCCCAAGGCAAATGCCTTGTTTGCCTCGCGGCTAAAACGCCCCTGGTTGTCACTCCGCTACACACGACTGGGGGAACTCAGGCAGTCAGACCTGGAGGGTCCCTCTCTACTGGGAACAGCAAAGACCAGCAACACGCATTCGTATTACAGGTAGGTCGTTCTCCAAGGGAGTGCCAAGTTTCTCCATCTTTTATACATTTTTACAAATTAGATGGATAGTCTGTACTTTTCCAAGTTTTCTTATCAGTGCAGCCCAGCATGTATATGTCATGCGCATTAAGTAATCTTTATGGTTGATCAGGCCAGTCATGACCACCCAAGGCTCATGCCAAACACATGCGGTACCATTTCTCTGAAGCTTTGTACCTATACTCAGTCTTTCTAAACATTGCTGACACCAAATCCTACTTTCAAGCACGTAGGCCACTTTAGATATTGGCCAGACATGTTATAGAACATTCTATTCTGTGTCATCTTGTTTTTCTTGTTTTTCTTTTCTTTATCTAGTAGTTTAATTTGCTTAATAGTGATCAGTGTCTTCAGCAAACTGTTTGCGGACTTTCTTGTGCATCATCTTTAGAAGAGGCTTTTTTCTGGGACGACAGCCATGCAGGTCAATTTGATGCAGTGTGTGGAGTATGGTCTGAGCACTGACAGGCTGACCCCCCACCCCTTCAACCTCTGCAGCAATGCTGGCAGCACTCATACATCTATTTCCCAAAGTCAGCCTCTGGATATGACTCTGAGCACGTGCGCTCAACTTCTTTGGTCGACCATGGCGAGGCCTGTTCTGAGTGGAACCTGTCCTGTGAAGGGGGTCCTGAGGACTAACATTGAGAACCCCTGATGTAGAGCAACAAATTTTTTTTCAGATCTTCAGAGAGTTCTTTGCCATGAGTTGCCATGTTAAACCAGTGACCAGTATGAGAGAGTGTGAGAGCGATAACACCAAATTTAACACACCTGCTCCCCATTCACACCTGAGACCTTGTAACACTAAGGAGTCACATTACACCGGGGAGGGAAAATGGCAAATTGGGCCCAATTTGGACATTTCCACTTAGGGGTGTACTCACTTTTGTTGCCAACGGTTAAGGCATTATTAACTGTGTTTTGAGTTCTTTTGAGGGGACAGCAAATTTACACTGTTATACATGCTGTACACTTACTACTTTACATTGTAGCAGAGTGCAATTTCTTCAGTGTTGTCACATGAAAAGTTATAATAAAATATTTACAAAAATGTAAGGGTGTACTCACTTTTGTGAGATACTGTATAAATCTCCCCAACAAACCATCCTTACATCCACTCCATGCGATCTAATCTACCTGGAACAGAAATTTAGTCAACCACCAGACACGTTACCAGGTCGCAATCTCCTCCCATAATGAGATCATTTCTACCACAAGCCTTCCCAGACTGTGTCCCACAATGATCTATTGATATTATTAGGTGCATTTAGCAGTAAAATATACAGAATATTTAGATATACCAATTTTCAAAAGGCAATAAAAAAGCAAGGCAGAGTCCGACATAGATTGGCTACATTCAAATATTGATGAGGTACTATATAGATTGCTAAATATCTGAAAAGGGCTGTGGGAATGGGGTAGATTACTGAAGAACAGGCAGAGTAGAGCTAAAGCCAAAAAAAGATAAAGTGAGAGGATAAGTAAAATTATTTTAATGTATTATATAATCATACTTGAATATATAATTTCTCTTGGAGGGAGTTTTGTTCATATGACTCAAAAAACATCTACTGCAAACACACAAGAAATCATATATAGGAAACTTAAAGTCCAGAGACGAAAAAAAACAACAACGGTGTAATGCACACTTGACTGTCTTAGCCTATCACAGGCACTCTGTGAAATGTTCCACGTGAAGAAGGCGACCAGAAGAGAAAGATGAGGGGCCAGGATATTAGGTGCCATCTGGAGCATTTTGGGGTTAAACCGTTCATAATACAGAATATTCTCTTAAGATTCTATGGTGCCCAAGACCGCCAGGCACCATAATGACTTAATTGAGAGGAAGACATTATGGTGACAAAGTTTTCCTTTAGTCATCTTGCTGTCAGTGTTTTATCTGCAGCCATTTGCCCATTGACGCTAGCACTGTGTACATATGTATGTATAATATATATATACACACACAGTCAGGTCCATAAATATTGGGACATCAACACATTTCTAATCTTTTTGGCTCTATACACCACCACAAACAAGATGTGCTTTAACTGCAGACTTTCAGCTTTAATTTGAGGGTATTTACATCCAAATCAGGTGAACGGTGTAGGAATTACAACAGTTTGTATATGTGCCTCCCACACTTTATAGGAGCTTAGATGCAGTTCCAACTTGGACAATTGGGTCTAATAATGCACACCTGAGGATATGGTAGAGTACAGACTCTAGGTTCTTGTGGATGCAGCTTCTCTTGCAGATATGTGATAGAAATCAGAGATTATAGTGCAATATGCCAGACTTCATATTAAAATATATAGCTATAAAGGATGCGCACTCACGTGTTCTGGAGCCTAGAGAGTTCCCTATTGCTGTATCAAATGTGAGTAGTTTTTATCTATTTTGTTTTATTCATCACTTTTTACAGTCTATACTATTGTGGTTTTATTTTCTCTTTTATTTATATAATCGGAGAGAGACCACTAGCACATATATCCTAGAGTGGGAATCATACCTCTTCACGTCAACACGTGAGTGCACATCCTATATAGCTAAATATTTTAATATTGAGTCTGGCATATTGGACTATATATCTTTGATTTCTTCCACATATCTGCAAAAAAAGCTGCATCCACAAGAACCTCCTATAGAGTTTGTACTCCACCATATCCTCAGGCGGGGATTATTCCGCCCAAACATCTAAGTTGGAGCTGCACCTAAGCTTCTATGAAGTGTGAGTGCATATCATTTTATTTATCCTCACCTTACTGTATTTTTTACATATTTCACTATCAGTTTCCTATTTCTCCTCCTTTTTATGGTTATAGATACACACTCCAAGGACATTCAAGGCGTTGCACCTCCCTGCTTTAAAAAATAGAAATGTTAGTAGTTTTTTTGTATAAATTAACAAAATGCAAAGTAAGTGTACAGAAGAAAAATCTAAATCAAATAATAGTATGACTATTTATTTCCTTCAAAACGGCATCTATTCTTCTAGGTACACTTTCACTAAGAGGCAGGGTTGTCTATAGGTACATGAGTTGTAAATACAGTCCTGTGGTCAATAAATCTGTGTGACAGAGCTCCTGTACTCCGACTGTGTACCCTTGCCCAATCCGCTTCCTAGCCGTTGGGGAGGGAGCTTGGAACACTTCAGCCCCAGTCGCCGAAGCTTGACTGGTGTCTCTCCGGAACACGTCCACCCTACCAGACTCTTCCTTCAGGCAGGTATTGTCCCCTCAGCCCAGTGGCGTACACCTGACCCATGGGGCCCCGGTGCAAAAATTGATCCGTGGCCCCCCCCCCGCACGCGGGCCGGGCCGCAACACATGGCGGTGGGCACCTGGTCGCAGGGGTTACAGGGCTGCGACCCCTGTATGTACGCCAGTGCATGCAGATGCACACACACTTAAAGGACCACTCTAGGCACCCAGACCACTTCAGTTTAATGAAGTGGTCTGGGAGCCAGGTCCAGCTAGGGTTAACCCATTTTTTCATAAACGAGTATGTTTATGAATGGGTTAAGCCTTCCCCTATTTTCTCTAGCGGCTGTTTCATTGACAGCCGCTAGAGGCGCTTGCGTGTTTCTCACTGTGATTTTCACAGTGAGAGCACGCCAACGTCCATAGGAAAGCATTATGAATGCTTTCCTATGTGACCGGCTGAATGCGCGCGCAGCTCTTGCCGCGCGTGCGCATACAGTCGACGGGGAGGAGAAGAGGAGGATCGGAGGAGGAGAGCTCTCCGCCCAGCGCTGGAAAAAGGTACGTTTTACCCCTTTTCCCCTTTCCAGAGCCGGGCGGGAGGGGGTCCCTGAGGGTGGGGGCACCCTCAGGGCACTATAGTGCCAGGAAAACGAATATGTTTTCCTGGCACTATAGTGGTCCTTTAAAGGACCACTACAGACACCCAGATCACATCAGCTCAATGAAGTTGTCTGGGTGTCAGGTCCCTCTAGTTTTAACCCTGCAGCTGAAAACATAGCAGCTATGTTTCACTGACGGTTAATCCAGCCTCTAGTGGCTGTCTCATTGACAGCCGCTAGAGGAGCACACTGAACGTCCATAGGAAAGCATTGAGTAATGCTTTCCTATGGGTGGTTTGAATGCGTGCGCGGTCGCATTCGGAGCTGAGAGGCTGAGGGATCCTCAGCGCCAAGGGAGTCCGGCGCTGGAGAAAGGTAAGTGCTGAAGACACACACACACACACACACACACACACTTACAGACGCATACACACTAGCTAACAGACACACAAATTTACTGACAGAGACACAGTCAGCGACAGACATACATACACACACACTCACTTACAAAACATACACTTTCATTGACAAACTCACTCACTAACAGACATCAAACAGACTAACACACACACACTCAGTAAGACACACACACTAACACTCACTCTAACACTCACACACACTCACACTAACACTCACTAGCAGACACACACGCTAACACTGACTGTAACACACACACACTAACACTCACTAGCAGACACACACGCTAACACTGACTGTAACACACTCACACTAACACTCACTAGCAGACACACACACTCACTGTAACACACACACACACACTAACACTCACTGTAACACACACTAACACTCACTAGCAGACACACACACTCACTGTAACACACACACACACACACTAACACTCACACTAACACTCACTAGCAGACACACTAACACTCACTCACTAGCAGACACACACACACTCACTGTAACACACACACACACACACACTAACACTCACACTAACACTCACTAGCAGACACACTCACTAACACTCACACTCACTAGCAGACACACACACACTCTAACACTCACACATTTTTTTTTTTTAAATGTAATCCCCCCCCAGCCTCCTTACCTTTTGGAGTGCTGGGGGGGATTATTCCCTGGGGTCCAGTGGTGCTGCTGGGCTCCTGGGCGGGTGGCCGGTCGGGCAGGCGGGCGCGCGAGGGAGCACTCAGTGCTTCCTCTTCAGCTACCTCGCGCGCCGCGTAGGGATGCCGGCGCCGGAAGATGACGTCATCTTCCGGCTCCGGTATCAGTGCAGTGCGCGAGGGAGCTGAATAGGAAGCACTGAGTGCTCCCTCGCGCGCCCGCCTGCCCGACCGGCCACCCGCCCACAGGGCCAGCCTCGGGGGGCCTTGGGGTGGTCGGCTCCTGGGCCCCCCAGGGGAAGAGGCTGGCCCAGTGGCTACATACCGGGTCGCAGGGGCGACCCCTGCGACCCTGGTATGTACGGCACTGGGTGGTCGGCTCCTGGGCCCCCCAGGGGAAGAGGCTGGCCCAGTGGCTACATACCGGGTCGCAGGGGCGACCGGGCCCCCTGGTGGGCCGGGCCCGGTCGCAGCCGCGACCCCTGCGACCCTGGTATGTACGCCACTGCCTCAGCCTATTCATCTGCAGCTCTTCTTCCAGGCAAGTATCGTCCACTCTGCCTATTCCTCTGCAGCAATAATTGTTATTGCCTTTACAAAAGCACTTGCGGTTCTCAGGCCTAGCTGTCTTGATTTATCCCAGGGCAGTGAGTCAACAGGTCTAAAGATTCTGTTAATGTGATCCCTAAAAATCCACACAGGACACCGTTACAAAAAGAACTAACATAGCATTCTTTATTTTTAGTCAGGACTTGCCTAAATGCTCACAACATTTAGATTGCTGTGACAACTATAATAAAATACAAATATAAAGAACAAATAGCAATTAAGCAAGTAAAATTAATCCATGAACTATATAATATAAATTAACATTTTCAAACACAATATAAAGCAACAATATATACATTTAACCACATATTTAGTTGCCCTTCATACAAGTCTCATGCAAACACACTTTAGACAGTCAGCAGAGGGCACAGCAGAGTTCTTAAGTAACAATGAATAACTTGCCCATTGACTGCTGCTGTCACACACCTCTTTCAGGGACTCCTGGGACAAGGTCCATAGTCTGTGCGTAAGAAGCTGGCTTTTAAGCCTCTTTAAACCCTTAAGGACCAAACTTCTGGAATAAAAGGGAATCATGACATGTCACACATGTCGTGTCCTTAAGGGGTTAAAATAACATGGCATGGAAGCATTACTGTTTTTGAAATTGTAGCACTGATTTAATTTCTAGGTTATTAATTTGTATGTATATTTTTGTTTTGTGTTTTTGTGTGTGTATGTGCATGTGTGCCTATATGTGTGTATCTTGAATGTGCTTTGCATTCTACAGCAGCAGGAGTGGCAGGGATCAGACAGTTTCTAACACTTTCCTAGCTGATTTGGGACAAAATCTATTTTAGACAAGACAAATCACAGTAAAGTGTGTTAGGGGAAATTGTAGCATATGTGGGTTATTCCATCCATCATAGGCACTACAGCCTTCTGTAGAGGTTGTTATAATGATAGGAGTATCCTGGCACTGTGCCTTGGTGATAGGATCAACCCTTTTGCTATTGTTTGCCTTCTTACCTGAGCCCAACTGTGCATCTGGTCTCCTGTTCAGCAGTTTTATTCAATTCAGCTTCTGCAGAGTTGCAGACATCCGATTCTGATCCTGTAGCTCATTATTAATTGGCTGAGAGCATCAGCTTACTGCTTACTGCCAATGAATGTGTATTTTGTTGTAGAAATTTGCACGGTATGGACACTAGCCACACTGGAACTCTTGTCCTGGGCAGACTAATGATGCTGTCAGAGGAGGAGTTACACTTTTGGCAGCAAAGGGGTCAATCTCAGTGTACGCTGCACATACAGGCACCATGCCCACTTCAAATCACTGAAGGAACTCTTTAAACAAGTCTACAGCAGACAAACTGTCAACGAAAGAAATTCACTGCGGTATTAATACAAGTAATAAGTACTGCCTTATTGAGTAAACCTTTGGATCAGACTTTTATAAACATGAAATAAAAAACTGCTCTGCTCTCCGTTATGTATATATACCCACGGCATACAGTGTTTAAATATGCTGTAAGCCTAAACCTAGGATAGAGCAAGCTGTGTTATATACTCAGGGTGTTTGTTGTAACACTGATCATATTTTTGATGTATACATAGATATATATTGAGATATCAAGAAATAGTTTTTGTGTGGCAGTGTAGTTCGGGATGAGGTTAATTGTACCACAATTGAATACACAATTGGAGGAGGTGGGTCCTGTTCATAATTATTGTAATAATCATTGTCAACACAAGGGGGCACAAACACACCACAAACTCTCCTGAAATGAACGTAAGTATAATTTAGGATCTGGACAATACTAGGACTTATACTAATGCAATTAGGCTAAATAAATGTACTAGTGAGACTCAAAAAGCTGAAGTGTATTGTAAGTGTTTATGAACATTTTTGTTTCTCTCTATTACAGTTTGTTCGAAGGAAAACTATAATTTCAAAATGTTTGTTCTGTTATAATATTTATGTGTAATATCATCTGTTTTTAATGAGTTAATACGGAGGTTTACTCATTTGCCTAAATGATTTTCTACATACCTGGAGAATATCTCTGTTTATCATGTCTTTCAGTGGGTTTATTGGAACGTGAACAAGGAGTAGAGATGGAAAGATATGACTTTCACTATGGCTTTCTGTGTTTGCAGATTTTGACAGGTTTAGGATTTTGTGTTTGAATAAGAAAGAATGTTTATAATTAATACAATAAATATGTTACTCTACAAAATGCTATGTAATATTGACCTATTGTTTGTCTCTCATCAAACAAGTTGTTTTACATAATAATATATTTATATAATGTGGTATTAGATTATTCGGTCTGTCATAGCAATAGCCAAATGCTGGGCAAGCATTATGGGGATCTGAAGTTGTCAAACAATACCATATGCGTTCCCTAATTAACCACATTATATAGGAAAGCATCAGACGCAACATTTGTATCTTAGAATTAAGAAGGAACCACGTCTTTGCCATCCTATGTATTAAATACAGGGACACAGTGTAACTAAGTTGGTGACGGCTGAGTAGGATGTGAGCTGTCAAACACTTTCTACCTTTCAAACATCCTTTTGGGAGTGAAGATCTCTCCTCCCTTCCGTGTGAGTGAGGAATCGGCTGGTTATCAGTGGGAAGAGAGGCGTTTGTTTGTTTAATGTGAGTCCATGCCTCACATCTCCTTTTTCCTGTTTCCTGAATCATGGTGATGGGAACAGTTATATGTTGGGCGCACAAGCTCCCTGTTTAAAAATGTGTTCTTTGCCTGTCTTAAGAACAACACTATAAACAAGGCTTACACTTACATTATGTAATTCACCTTATGTATCTTCGAAAGGAAAAGTAAATGCCACCCAGAATTCTGAAGTTTATGAATCCTAATGTTCATGTTTATTGATATGTAGAATGTTTATTAAAAGCATCATGATATTGCAATAAAACTCGCGAAGCGTGTGTAAAAAAACCCAACATAAAGTACATTGTAATTGCACTGAACCTTGTAAAGAATAATTTGATTTGCTTGACTGTTGTCTGAGGGTTAGAACACTGTTCTCATCTGCTTCAACCTCTACAATTCTTCCTTATTTTGTCACTTGCAGAATGGACTTTGATGATGAAGATGGAGAAGGTCCCAGCAAATTTTCAAGGTAAGTGACACTTGATTACGCTTTGTATTGTGGCTACCTTTTGTTGATGAGTGATGTGCAGATAGCACAGAGGTTCTAATAATTTCTTATTCTCTTTAGGTATGACTGCAGGTTGCACACTTTCAAGGATATGGTAAGACAGGGCTTCTGGTGTATGCCCCTCATCTTCTCAGCAGGTGTCTGATCGCTGCTGAGAGAGCTGGTTGTTTGTTTCCAGGTTGGAAGATGATCAGTACCCATTGGAGCGAGACCACGTGACCAGGTAGGACAGTCGGCTTCTGCTTGGTTTGAAAAAGACAGATCTGGTAGATCTGAATTACCTATTCCCTGCTAGGTAGACTAGCACAATTTTTGTAGAGCCTGTCTTGGCCTCTGGTTCTACGTGCAGAGATTCTACTTGCGCTTGACAACTGACCTGTGCTGAATGGTCATTGCCCTGACACTGAAAATTAAGTGCATGTCTTCGAGCAAAGTAAAATATTGACATTCTATGCAACAACCGCGAGCAACTATAATAAATTCACCAAATATCACAAAGCTACAAGCTCTGTAAAATTTATTTATTGCAGGATCTCTGGATACCTAACACCTTTTCTGGATGATAAGAGAACATTGTCTGTGATACATATGCTCCTATGATTTTTTTTTTGTTCAATGTTTGGCTTTGTTATATTCATTGAAACCTGCATATTTGGTGAATTTCTTTAGACTTTATGGAGTTGTTGCATTTCAATCTTGCACTTGTTTCTTTTAAATTATACTTGCACTCTGCATACAGCAATATAATATTGAAATCTAGTTTCATGTGCTTTGTACCTTGATAACTTTTGCATCTTGTTTTTTTTTTTTATGTGGCTTTTGATGGGGAATGTGTCTTTTACGTTGCGCAATTTAGTGAAAACAAAATTGTCAGAAACCGTACACATACATGTACATCAGATATATATACATGCACAGCAATATATAGATACAGTTTTAGATTGATAGTGTGTGACTATGTTACTGGTTGTGTACATGGCAGTAACAATAGCAGCATCAGGTCCAAACATTTTAGAGATCAATGTCCCCGAATGCCATGCAAAATTTGGTTGAAAGACAAAAAATTCTACGTTGCTAAATCCCACATTGCTCTGTATATCTCTTAACTAGTTTAGTTGTTTTTTAGAGCCGTGCCCTAAATTCCACTGTCAGGCTGTCATTTAACAGATTGATGTTCTGCAGGTCTTTTCAAAAAGGCTAAAGGAAGAAAGCTCTGCAGAGCTGTGACATCATTAAGGTTGAAAATAAGAAGGCAGCTACTCCACACTCATGGATTGTTAGTGTTGACATGTCACAGCTGTATATACACTGTTCTTTCCAACAAGTTACTGTTAACTGCACTTGCACTTCACCCTTCTTTGTGAGCAGCGCACATACACATACAGTCATGCTCTTTGTTTAAGTCATTCAAGGGACTAAGAATGTATATATATGCAAAGCCAGTTCGCTAATAAAACGTCTTAACATTAACGTATTGATGTTAACCTGCCGTATGACTAAAATACCTTATCTTAAACTCTTTCAGCCAAATGGCTTATGTTCACCAGTGTATATGTTTATTTAATCAAAGTATTAATCTAATCGAAAGATTCATGGCTGGAAAAAAGATAACACATGTTGCTCAATGAGAAAGAAATATGAAAAATAATCACATGAAATTTAAGTTCCTTATTAGTTCAACTAAAGCCTACTAATGTTAAACAGTTGTAACATTAATAGACTGGGCTTAGTTGTTTGTATTTCCTCATTTATTTAAATCTTTGATTAAGTAAATATTCTATAAATATCGGTGTATATGTGGTAACATTTTTGCTTTTGTTGTCTTGTTGATATATAACATGGACCTGTCTTTAAAAATAACTTAACGTTAATGAACAGACCATAGAAAAGTACAGAATATGCATGTCATTTTGTAGATTGCATTCCAACCAGCCTGCTGGGTAGTAAGTATCATTGGATGGGATAGAGAGTGTGTATAGGTGACATAATGATCTCACCCTATTTCATGTCTTAATCTTCTACCACATAGTTTAGGTAAAGGGTTACTCCAAGCACCATGACCAGTTCAGTGATTTAAAGCGATCATGGTTCTTAGGCAGTCTGTATGCACAGCGTTTTCTTATAAAATGCTACACGTACCGAGTTTAACACCTTTTCTACCAGAGGTGGCGTTACATTGTGGCGTCATTAGCCAGTACCCAGAACAAGAGTTCCAAGTTGGCTAATGTCAATTCTGTGCACATTTCTGTGCACAGAGGGTCATTCATTGGCTGAGAGTGATCCATTGCAAAATGGTTTGCCCTTTACCGGAGAACTGCACCAGGGTACTTTGCAAAATCTTAACCACCACAGCGAGTACTGGTTATGATACTTAGGGAACTCCTTTAAGGGGAAACCTCTGAGCAACCCTACAACGTTTGGTAGTGTTCATGGATCATTTGAATGCTGACATTCTGGTGTTTGTTAAACCGTTTTGAGCTGTTCCATAAAAAGAAGCGCTCACATGGCACCCGAAACCCACATCTTCAGCTGACACTTCAGTAATGAGGATTTTAACTTCCTCACCGTCAATCAAAGTTTGGATGGCAATGATAAGCTATGTGCATTGGGCTAGTTTGTCTTCACAGCCTATCATTGCCTCTGTAATTCCTGGTGCTATAGCTCAGCTAGATACATTGAGTTCAAAACGTAGATAAAAGAAGCATAGTTCTCTGGTTAGTAAGTAAACCCACAAGGTACCAACCCTTGCTCTGCTATTTGATGTAAAGTTGTTTTACCAGACAGGTCCAATTTAAGTTTGCCTAGCACACACTTAACACCTCTGTTGTTTAATGGAGATATAATCTTGTCTTGTTTTCTTTCTCTCTTTTCCTGGGTGCCGCACTTCTCTCTTTATTCTTCACCAGGACTAGAAAAACCAACAGAGCTAAGACCAGTATATAATGGAGGATCTGAAAGTCATTACTTTGGCACCACAAAGCATGGACATCTTACACATGGCTTTCCATTTGGGGAAGGGATTGCAAAACCCTAGCAATAAGAATAGGCATTGCAATCTAAAATCAAATGGAGAACCAACCATGCACAGATTAACACCAGGGTGGCCTTATATCTTCTTTATTACAGGACACCTATGCAAAATGCATTCGGCAGGGTTTAAATTATTCCTATGCAGCTCTGCAGCATGTATTTTTTTTAATAAATGCCTTGTAATAAACATGATCCCAGCCACCCTATACAGCACTGTACTGATATACTGAAATGCAGAGATCCTCCATAGTGAACGTGTTGGTTGATCAGGCAGTTAAGGAGCATGGATTGTTGCTGTACAAGTCACAACCAAATAATCTGTGTACATTGGCCATACATGGCAGGCAGCACTAAGCAGTCAGTGTATCTGTGTGTCACACTACATTTGATGGGGCATACAGATACACCCTGCCACTTGCTGACAGGTCCTGTATGGAGAAACGCCCTATGTACACTACGCATGAAAAGCAGTCACCAGTGTTTTTTCAGCAGATATCCAACTTATGTATCTCCATTACGTCTCTTAAGATTTAATGGCACACACAAAATTAGAAATTGATATATTTTTTTAAGTTGATATAATATTTTTGGTCTTGGAAACATTTTCTGATTTAAAACCATTTGCTGCCATGGACCACTGCAAAGGCCTTGCACTATATTGTCTTGCATGGCCCTCTGGAAGTACCTTGTACCAAGGTCCCCTTTGCACAGTGGCTGCACCCTGACATTAGCTTGCCAGTCACATGATAAAGCAACTTCAGGTTAAATACGTCTGTCTAGCTCTGAATGGGTTCACAGTGTAAATGCATTTGCAGCCCAGCAGCAAATGGTGCAAAATATATACCTAAGCTTGAATTTCAACATTTTCAAACTAAACCTGAAAAGAAAACTCTAATCAGAAGTTGGAGTGTTTTAGATGAACATGCCAAGGACAACCAAATCATTAGCAAGACCTGAAATGAAGCAGGAAACCAAAAGTATGGAGTATGAAACTAATTTGGAAGCTGAACAGACACTGACTGCCACAAAGATTCTTGTACACACACATCCTCTCCTTCTCACTGCCGACCCCTCACACGTGTGTGCGTGTTGGGTTGCGGGGACCGTGTCTCTGGACGGCTCTGCTTGGTGCTGATTCTTATACTCTTCCGTTTTTTTCTCCTGCTCTGATTCTGCTTTCAGAGAGAATCACAGTGAAATTGAAAGACGTCGGAGGAATAAGATGACACAGTACATCACAGAGCTGTCCGACATGGTTCCCACCTGCAGTGCCCTCGCACGCAAACCTGACAAGCTCACCATCCTGCGCATGGCCGTGTCCCACATGAAATCCATGAGGGGAACAGGGAATAAATCCACGGACGGAGCTTATAAACCCTCCTTCTTAACCGAACAGGTGCTGCTGCTCTGTGAAATCTCATTACTGCACGCGTGTAGTGAATGCCATAAAGGGCTAACATGTGGACCATTCTGTTATAACAGATAAACTTTACTTTAGTAACTGAATTACACTTTCACCAATGACAGCTATGAGATGTTTGCAATTCAGTTGCCAGATTATCTCTTGTAGTAGAACGTAGCCCAATTAGTGCAGTGTAAACCCAGTCCACCTTAGAATGGTTTGAATAAAGAAATAGAGTAGAACAAGTTTAATATGAGCCAGATTACTGACAAACGATACATGCAGATTGACATTGTGAATAGTTAGGACAATGTGTGTCAATTGTACAATAAATCAAACTCCATCATTTATTTCATAGTTCACTGGTGCATAGATTAATTACACCACTACTAGTGAATGTTCAGTCAGTGTGTTCCCCCTAAGAACTTTTTAACGAAAGGTTTAGAACTAAGATATTTAAGTAAACAGAACACCCTACAGCACATAGGTCCTCAATGTAGATTGGAGAGGTAGGTAGTTAATTGAAATTCCTCTTTTAGCTGTATCACAATAAAATCTTCATTTGGAACACTGCTTACCCGTCATAGTTTAGTACCAGTGCTCTACAGCTGCTGATGTTGGACTGCAGCTCCTGTAATATTCATATAGTCTCAGATGCTGCCAGCTTTGGGCATCCTCCAATTCCCAACATTAAATTCCTGATTGTCATGTGAGTAACTAGTGCATTGTGGCATTAAAAGAGTTGGAAATTGCAGTAGAATGCTCTCTTCGTGTCATTAATGGTTACTCTGTGGTGCTGTAGTTGCTGAACGCTACATTTCGGATAAATTCTCAGCCACAGTGCCATACGCTAGCCATCACTGACTCTTTCATAATCAATACCAAATATTCAGTTAGAATTAATTGTTATTAAAATATGCTGATATATATAATCTGTGAAAGGTTTGTATATAAATCACTCATCTGTCTATCTATCTATCTATTTATCTATCTGTCTATCTATCTATTTATTTATCTATCTCATCTGTCTATCTATCTATCTCATCTGTCTATCTATATATCTATCTCATCTGTCTATCTATTTATTGATATCTATCTATCTGCTATCTATCTATTTATTTATATCTATCTATCTGCTATCTATCTATGTATGTCTGTCTATCTATCTATTTCTATATATTTATATCTCTCTCTATTTTATTCCTAATGTCATATAAAGTGCTTTATATTCATCATTTTGGGATGTCCCAGTTCATTTGCTCATTTAAAGTGACCCTTTAGGCACAAGGCCATTTCCCTCATATTTTCTTTCCTTATCCCAGGAGCTAAAGCATCTGATACTAGAGGCCGCCGATGGATTTCTTTTTGTGGTGACAGCAGAAACTGGGCGAGTGATCTACGTATCTGACTCTGTCACCCCAGTTTTAAACCAGCCTCAGTCGGAGTGGTTTGGGAGCACTTTGTATGAGCAGACACACCCAGATGATATAGAGAAACTCCGGGAACAGCTGTGCACCTCAGAGAACTCCATGACAGGTCTGTCGCATGTGTACTGCATGATTGCAAAATGGTTCTAGATATTAATAAGAAGAAGAATATTTATTGAATATTGCATGTATGGAAGATGTGCATAATTCAAACCGTTTCAAAATGCATCCAATACAATAGAAAACATTGTACATTATGGATACCTATACAAGGCTTTTAACATTAATTTATTTAATTAATTATTATTTTCTATTTTTGCAAAAACACCATCCCTCATCCACCACATCAGGTGACATGTCTGCTTTTACAGTGACTCTTGGACGTGAGGTGGGAGATATTACCTAAACCGTTTCACCTTCAGCTCCTGGTGGCTTCACAAGCCAGGAGCCTATTTCACAAATGTTCCCAGTAAGCAAACACAAAACTATGGAAAATGGTGCCCATAGAATGTCCTTTGAGATCACTGAATCCTCCATAGATGATCTTGTTCATGCAAAATCATGTGTCATAAGTATTTATCACTCTTCAGTCAAAAACAATGCTTTATCACATCTGCCATTCCTAATGATGACTTATGGGAAATGGCAAGATGTGACAGCAGAAGCTGCTTGGAGCTTTGTTCTTTTCCACATTTCACTGTAAACGGTTACTTACATCAAAGAAAGTAAGTCCCTCCTTTGTCTCTCGTATATCTTCTGATTGAGTTCCAATTTCACTGAAACGCCATCACTTTGTCACAGAGAGGTGTAGTGATGTCATGAGGTACCCTGAGACATTTATTTGACAGACTACAGGTATTTTGCTGAGGATTTCTTCTAAGGACTCTTTAATTTTAATTCCAAAAATATCCATTCTTTATGAGTAGGCCAGAATACCAAAAGGTCTAAAATTGGTAAGGAAATTGCAATATCTAGGCCAAAGTAGCTGATTTTGGAAAAAGAGTAGTGTGAAGGATTTTCATGTACTTACTGGTGTGCCTTCAGTTATACCCTCTCCCTGCTGTTCAAATACTTGTAATAGTTAGTTTCAGTATGTATTGAGTAAATGTATTCGTCTACCGAACAGAGACCACCCGCCCTGGGTAGCAATCAGCGTTAGAATGTAGAGGAAACCGCAACTTAATTGCTCCTAGGTGGCCGCCATTCGGCATACGAACATGTGGCGAGAACAAAGGATGGCGGCCATCTTAAAACTCACGAATGCGGTCAGCGGGGCTTACGCATGAATTGCCTGGAACTATTTTCGGCACGGCAAACATGCAAACGCCCGGTCCTCATGGAAGTCCTGGATGAATACGTTCCCCTCCACGAATCAAACTGGCATTCGGTAGATAGAACCTACCGAACGAGGGGAACATTCGCATGTAACCAACCGCACCATACAAACTGTGGTTTTCATGTAGTTAGACGCGAACGGAGACCGGCTCTTGCTACTGAGTTCATGGAATTCTAAATCGGATTCCTCCACATGGCGAGCCGGTCAAACTTCCACACGATGCGACACGGAAAGTACCGAAAGGGAAATTCGTGAGATTTGTATATGTGACTACCAGTAACCTCAGCTACCCAGGGATGTGAATGTTATATTTGTATGTATTATAGAAAGTAATTTTCTGAAAATGTTATAAATTGTAATGTTTTTGGCCAGCAGATAATTGAGCTTAGTATATTGCTGAAACTCAATTATCTAGCCTGGCCCAGAGGAGGAGTCTGTTACTGTTTAAATTGAATGCCTGTTGCTTTCAGTAAATCAGTCTTGTTCCAGCATTAAGCTTTGGCTCATGTGTGGATTATTCGGCGATACCAGGGATATTTCTTCTTGTGGAGTATTGGGTGATTTTCTTTTATGGGAAGAAGGGAATACTTGACGGTGATACCCCATACTACCGTCACAAGTAGAATAAGATATTTTTCCAGTTTGGCTAATTAGACCTAGATATTGTCATCACAATTCACTTTTTACAGGGTTATTCACTACAGTGAGACAAAAAGTTGCACAATTAGTGAACAGAGAGTAAGTTCCCTCTTGTGTGTTTTCTCACAGACAATTTACATCTCTGCAGTATATTACTAAAGTGTTTGGTGGAAACGTTCCCACGAACAAGGTCCAGGGTAAGAACATTGACTGTTTGGTAGTTTGTTCGGTTTTTAAACTACCGAACTAGACCGACCGCAAGCCCTGATTCTCTGGAACTGTTTTGGGCATGGGACCATGCGTGCTGTAGGCCAAATTATGACTTCCAGGAAATTCCCGAACCCCTGAACCGATTTGGGTTATTTTTAAATATGTTGGTCACTCAGTTCGGGGCTATCATGGGATATAACTTTTGTGAGGGTTTTGTGTGTTTAAAGGTATTTTTGGGGTTTTGTAAAAAATTATGTGTTCTGTGCCTGGAGATAATTGAATTTAATACAGTGCCTGACTTAATTATCTCTCAGGCACAGAGGAGGGATTATATTGTTTTATGTGGGAGTGTCCTGGACCTAAGAGCCAATGTAATCGTGTGTATGTTTTTACTGTAGTCTACTCTCAGGTCAAGGTCCAGAGGAGTGCAGTGCCCCTTGCATGTGCATATAAGGCCAGTTGTGGCTGCCCATAAACAAATTCCTGCTTGCCCTCAACATAGTCTCATCTCATGTGTGGGGGGAACAGCTCTATCACTCTGGGGATTGCTATATCACTAGCTTCCACTGTGATTACAATCATTTGCTCTTTTACGAGCATATTGCTACACTTTCTTGGAGCCTACCCACTGGAAGCTGGATCATTGGTCTTGGGTCCAGGGTGGGTGGAGGACAGCGAGTCCCCAGCCAACCTGTAGCCCTGGAAGTGGGGACTACAGTGCTGATGGTGTCTGGTGCGGTGCTTGTGGTACTCGGTAAGCACTAGGGAGCAGCGATTGGCGGAGGCGCCCAGTCGGAGTGCCCGGCGGTCCGCCACAGATCTCATGCATATTCTTGATTTTCATATGAAACTACATTGTCATAGTTACATCCATCACTCTTCCCAGTTATGCCTTATGGGAAAATCCAGCTTCTCAGTTCATCCATCCAAGTATGTGTGCTGTGTCGTAATGCACTTCCTGTGCACACTGTTCACGTCAAAGCCCTTTACCTGCTGGAGCTGTACTGTAAGTACACTCTTGCACAGCATAGTTCGCCTCACTGTCTGACTCGGCACACAAAGATTTCTGAGGACTGTGTGGCCTGCATGTGCCCTCATAGAACTGCTCACACAAGTAAGAGTGGTTGATTTGAATGCTGGGAGAAGGCTGTACCTACCCTTGCTCTGGAAATATTTGGACACCTAAATGAGGAGGCTAGATGTGATGACAGTGGGAAAAGGGAAAAGTGTGGCGCTCTGAAACCCCTAGTAATGACTAATAAGCAAGAGTATGCGTGGGAATTAAAGGCAGTAGTGGTTATCGTTTTTGGAGTTATAGAATTACATAGCTGAAAAGAGACTTGCATCCATCAAGTTCAGCCTTCTTCACGTTTGCGTGTCCTTTTAATATATCTAACCTATCACATTTAAGAAGTAAACCTTAGGATTCATTAATTTAGCTTAGGGCATACAGAATTTGATACGAAAATTCAGACAGTAACTATATACACTGTGCCAAGGCCACAGCCATCAGTCTTTAGTTCATACAAACATATCATTTCCCCCTATGCTTTAACAGGATACACTGAGATATATCACAGGGAATGTAATGGCTCATTGCATTCCTCCCTTTTAAGACACCTTTAAGAAATGCATTTGTGACTATAAATCTTAGCTATTTTGACACCTAAGAATTCAAGCCTACTTATTATAAGAACACTGTGTTATGGCTGTAGTGATACTAACTATGTCTCCTAATAGTTCTTAATCTAGTTTTGGAATCCCAGCAAATTATACATAACAAGCAATTTATACTATCCCATAGCAATACAATACTGCAGAATGGATGCAAATTATTCTTCATTATACTCCAGGTCTGTTTTTAATCATTCACATGTTCCGTGGAGTCTACAAATAAAACACGATAATAGCCTTAAAAGTATTATCTTTTGGTTCCTGTCCAGTAATCATTTCCGTTACCTGCTGCTTATAATGGCTCCGTGAGCATATTAAACACCTGTTGTTGTTTCACGCTGAGAAAGAGGCAGGATTCTTAATATATGGGCATAGAGGAGAAGGCCATACCAGGGAGAGCACTCCATCCACACTGCTTGCTTCCTACAGTGCACTACAGGGCTCTGGCAGTAGAGAGTTCCTGACAGTTCAGAACAGTCCAGGTTTAGAGTTACATGGCTTCTTCCTGCAGTTTGTTATGGCAGATGTTTCGCTGGATCTAATTCTGCTTCTCTTCAGATTAAAATATTTGTTCACCCTGCCTTGTTTTGCTTCCCCCGTTTGATAGTACTTAAAAATGTTTATAGAGTTCAGCAACTTTTCACTCGTTTGTTTTATTTTTGTTTTAATGTTTCCGAGCGGACAGACATTTAAAAAAAAAAGTTTATTTTTCTTTTTTAACTTGGAGATAAAAAAATCCTCAATTTTCCTGCAAGGGCAAGGCAACATTCCTTATCAGCTGGATGCTTGTACAGTCAAATAGTAGTGTTCTTTGTGTGTTCGTTTCTGGTCTCTTCGTTCTAAATGACTACCATATTAAATTGTGCTCCCCATTGACAGATTGTAAAATGCGTCTCTTTACCATTAACCATCTTATGTGTTTTAGAGAGAGAGAGATTACTGTGTTCACTGTGGTTCTACCTATATGTGATACTGTGATGGGGATGCTTTGTAGGACCAGAAGTAGCAAGCAATGTGCCCTCAGCTACAACCACTTCAGAGCTACTTTTTACATAGTTAGCAGAGTGAAGCTGCTGAATTTAGTTTTTGGGTTGTCACACTGTCCCAAAATGCCATAAGATGCCAATATCAACGCATACACAACATAAACGTTTCCTGACTTTTGTACAACAGCAGCCACTATTCAGTAGTCAACAGTTTTTTTTCATTTTTTCCCCCCTTTTGCATTATTATACCCCACATCCCTCAGACTGCAGGCTTATTAGGACACGACCCTCATCACATCTTTCTCCTGCAAGTAAAACTTGTTGTATTGCAGATTGCTGTATGTTTTGTTTATTCAGTAGGCAGCGCCACAGTATATGTTACCGCAACATAAATATTAATATTTTAATATTTCTTTAATGATTCTCACCATATTGTCACAGTAATACCCATACTTTCTTCAGCACTTGAAAAAGTGTAGATTTTATTATTTACAAATTGAGAAATGGAAACTTGGCATTTAAATGATACATGTTATGATTGCTTGGTTAAAATAATCAAGTGAAAATTTCACTCACTTTATATGCCATTTGGTAGTGTAAATAAACAACATTGGACATTTAAAGGGACACTATAGTCACCAGAACAACTACAGCTTAATGCATTTGTTCTGGTGAGTAGAATCATTCCCTCCAGGCTTTTTGCTGTAAACAGTGTCGTTTCAGAGAATATGCAGTGTTTACATTACAGCCTAGTGATAACTCCACTGGCCACTCCTCAGATGACTGCTAAAGCTGCTTCCTTAAGCAGTCCTGCCTAGTGTGCATCACAACATTCAGTGTGTCCACCCTCTGCATGCAGACACTGAACTTTGCTCACAGAGATTCATTGATTCAATTCATCTCTATGAGAAGATGCTGATTGGCCAGGGCTGTGTTTAACTTGTGCTGGCTCTGCCCCGATCTGCCTCCTTGACAGTCTCAGCCAATCCTATGGGGAAGTATTGTGATTGGCCCAGACCACCACTTGTGATGATGTCAGCAGACATGGGCAGTTCACAGGCAAACAGGAGCAGAGCCAGTAGCTTCAGACTTGAATACAAGTAAGATTTTACTATATTAAGGGTGGCAAGAGGGGGGCCAAGGGGCTAGATGTTGGTTTTAACACTATAGGGTCAGAAATATAGGTTTGTGTTCCTGCCCTATAGTGCTCCTTTTACTCATGGGTAACATGCTTGCTTCTTCTTTTCTTTTTATTTCAAAAGCTTTTTTATTGAGCATTGCAAACATGAGATAATACAAGCGATAAAGATATGTCAAGCAATCTGGACACGCAGGTCCGAATATCAGTACCATAGGCGTGCGCACGGGGTGTGCCTGGGCACACCCTAATCCCTGCGGCACGCCTATGTATTGAGACCGGCAGGAGAGATCTCAGGATATCTATCCGAGCGCCGCCTCTGCTCTCAGCCTCCCTCCCCACCGACCCACATGCAGGGAGGGAGGCAGGAGAGGACCCGGGGAGCTATTGCCGGCAGCTCCACCGGGTTCCTCTCGCGAGATCTGAGCGTTGCTGCGGCAACGCTCAGATCTCGTGAGAGTGAACTCTAGCCCCACAGAGGACCACCAGGTAAGGCTACATAAGGTGAGAGGGGAGGGAGGATATTAAGTAACGTACCCACAGACATACAGCACCCACACACATACAGCACCCACAGACATACAGCACCAACACACACACAGCACCTACACACATACACAGCACACACACACATACACAGCACCCACACACACAGCACCCACACACACAGCACCCTCAAACACAGCACCCTCACAAACACACACAGCACCCTCACACACAACACACAAACAGCACCCTCTCACACACACAGCACACTAACAGGACCTTAACAAACACATACACAGCACACTACCAGTACCCTCACACACAAACAGCACCCTCACACACAGTACATTAACAGCACCCGCAAAAGCACGCACACACACATACAAACAGCACCCTCACACACAGTACATTAACAGCACCCTCACAAGCACCCACATAGCACACTACCAGCACCCTCACACACACATCACACTAACAGCACCCTCACACAGCACACACACACAGCAGTGTATGTGTGTGTGTATATATGTGTGTGTGTGTGTATATATATATATATATATATATAGTACACAAGATCCAGCGCACTCACCTATCCACTAAACTGCAACTTCAGTGTTGAAAGATTTTATTTGTTTTTTTTAAAAACACCTAATCTAGGCAAAAATAATGGGGGTTTAGTTACATTATATGATCATACATTGCATAAGCCTGCCACAACGTCAATATACCCCTATCTTTGGCAGGTCCTACACTAACAGCCTAATGTCTGCTCTTATGAGATTAACCTACTTGGGGGAAAAAATTCCATCTGGGGCTCTCTGCAGTATAAGGCTAAATAGGACCCTGGGATGAGGCACCTGTGACAGGGAGGGATGCAAAACCAAGGAGTTGGCTAGACTCCCAAATATATATATATATATATTTGAAACAAGAGGGGGTTGGCTGCACTCACCTGAACATGCATAAATGGGGGTGCTGCTGGGGGCCAAATAATACAATACACAAGATCCAGCGCACTCACCTATCCACTAAACAGCATATATATATATATATATACGCGGCGTGTGCTTGTGCTTTAGGGTGCACACCCTAATGCAATAGGCTGCGCACGCCTATGATCAGTATCCGTACAATTGAGTTACACAATGTTATTCTTCTGTTTATACGTCTATAGTACGAGCCTGGAATTGGCGAAACGTACATTGTAACTGTATAAGGACCAAGGGGGCATCGGAAATGACATTTGGTATCGCTAGGCTATTTTGTTGCACTTATTCTATCCGACAAAAACCAATAGGTATCACCGAATCAATTTAGCGCAATCTATATACGCATAATGCATCAGTAAGTGTGCGGAGTATCTGCTAGCCATCTGTCCATAAATTTGGAGTTTCAGCTCCCATGTCTTAGCTGGAGGCGGTGGTAAAATCTTGAAAAAATACCCAAAGGTAATCTACTATACAATGATAACAGAGAAAAACATTTCAATAATGTTGAGAAAAATGCGAGTGAATAAATTGATAATTAGTCACGCTCACAAACCAATATTGATTGTAGGCATATCCTCAAATTATAGTAGCTTAAGGACTTGTGGAGCATCATGGCAAATATAGAAGGGAAAAAAGAAAATAATAGTGCAAAGTATCTTTATAAAATTACACTTTTTAATAAAAAGGCACACTTACAAATGAAAGTGTCAAATAAGCACATCAGCATAAGTATTCACAGGTCACAGGATCCCAGGAACAGGAGAACCAGGAGACATAAAATAAATAAATAAACAAACAAACTCTGTACACTAAACAGCAGCCCTACGTGTTTCGTTCAATGTCCTTTGAACTTCAAGGACATTGAACGAAACGCGTAAGGCTGCTGTCTAGTGTACAAAGTTTGTTTGTTTATTTTTATGTCTCCTGGTTCTGCCCCTGAGGAAGTTCAAAGGACATTGAACGAAACATCCCATATAGCCAAGGATTGTCGCCTCTATCTTTAGTTTCACATCTCCCCAGAATGGTACAATGGGTGGGCATTCCCACCATATGTGTGTTATCGTTCCCAGTACCTCTCCACATCTCCAGCAAACGTTCGGTACAGCCAGGAAAATTCTATGTAAGCTGTCGGCCGTCCTGTACCAGAACGACAGGAATTCATAATTGGATTCTTGATATTTGGAGCTAGGAGATCCTTTGTGGAGGAGTATGGGTATCTTCTCCCACTGAGCTTCAGTGATAGATTTATCTAGGATATGCTCCCATTGCCGGCGGAACGTGTCATTGCTTTCCAGGTGTCCCACCAGGAGGCGGTGGTTTTGCCATCACATAGACTTTCTAACCATGTAAGGTCACGATGTAGTGTGTCTTTATTCGGTAACTTCTGGTAAAAAGTTTTGGCCTGCGTGTATCGGAATGTGTGCAGGCTAGATGGAGGGTTGCCTCCAGTCAGCTCCAGCAGCGTCATCATGCCCGTGTTGTTTAATAGCTTTCAGATAGGAAGAGAATCTCCCCCGCCGAGGAAATCCCACGATTGGGGTGGTAGCCCACCCCCTATTTGAGGATTGTGTTGGAGCTGGATCAGTGGGCTAAATGTGTAGCTCCTCTGATGCCATCCCATGTCTTCAGCGTGTTGCCACTGTAGAAGTCAGGTCCAGCTCCACTTGTGCGGGTCTTTTCGAGTTTCACACTGCTGTGAGGAGTGAGAGCCGCAGATATCCTTTATCAAGTGCAACCCATTGTTTATGTGTTGGATGAGTGTCGGTAAATATCCTCTGGATCACACTTTAGTGGATATGCCTGTTAGATTATCACTTCCCGCTTGGTCTTCTCTAAGCCATATGATCTGTACCATTACAGCACATTCATTATTCAGGACTCATGCACTGTTATCTACTAAATCGAAAACTGTTGGAAATTAAAAGTGGATTTCAAAATTTAGGCCAAAATAGCCAAATTTCCCCTAGTCAACTCTGTGCTCAGTTTGGCTACTTTGGCCTCGAATTTGAAATTCACTTTGAATTCCTGGCAATTCTCACTGTCATAAATATACCTGGCAATGTGTAGTTGACATTGCCACATAATATTTGTTAGTGGTGAGAGTCTTCCTTTTAAATTCTGCTTTTTACAATTTTCTTTTTTGGAGAGCTATCAAACACCTGCCAAGTAGCCTCTGGTTTCCTTGTTGTTTTTCCTGTGCCCTCATCTGGCTTTCAGATTTCCTTGGCGATTTCTTATAACCCGTTCCAGTATTTAAAAACAGTTTGTACATAAATGATGCGTAATAATAAAATACTGTTATTTACAGCTGCCATCCTGCACTTTTCTGCAAATACCTTTAATTTTAGTGGTCATACTATTCCTTTCAAATCTGGCTTTTCTTTTTTTTTTTTCTTGCCAGGAAGATGTTTGGGGGAGGAGGGTGGTTGGATTTTTTTACATCATAGTTCCAGTTATTCAGAATGTTTTCGTGAAGAGCCTTAAAATTATAAAATATACTTTTTTTTGTACTTAATTATAAAATAAACTTGGATATTTCATGTTGCTAGTAATCCTTTACTTTTCATTTAAAACATGTTTATTGTTACTGTTGTTAGTAAAGGCTTATTAACCCCTTAAGGGCACATGGCGGCAATATTCCATCATGATTCCCTTTTATTTATGACGTTGTGTCCTTAAGGGGTTAAAGGAACACTCCATTAACATTTTTGTTTCTAATTTCTTTATTTATGTATTTTTTTGCATGTTTTTTTGGGGGGGTATAAGTAAAAAAAAAAAAAAAAGTATTCATTCTGTGCTGGGGAATACACCAATCGGAGACTTATCATCTGTGCTAGAGCCTCAATCTCACATGAGCCCATGGTTTTCCAATGCTTCTCAGTAGCATTCTTTAGCCTAGAACGCCTGACACTTCCATTGATTGACAGCCAGGGTGGATCAGTTATGATGCTTGGACTGCTCTTTTAACCTCTAGAGCAAAAATAATAATTTCATAAATTTGTGTTGGATTTCATAAATTGTATATTTTGTACTTTTTGGAATGCCTTTACTAATATATTCATGTCACATCTGCTAGATCAGTGATGGCTAACCATGCAGACGCAGGTAGAGTTCAATTTATTATTAAAATAAAAAAACTAAAAAAAAAACTTAAAGGGGCACTATATGCAGCTAGAGCACTTAAAGGGACACTTCTGCCCCTTGGAGTGGTCTGGGTGCCAACTCCCATCACCCTTAACTCTGCACGTGTAATTATTGCAGTTTTTATAAACTGCAATAATTACCTTGCAGGGTTAAGTCCTCCCCTAGTTGCTATCTATACACGAAAAGTGTATTAAACGACGCTGGAAGTCCTCGCTCTATGCATGAGGACCTCCAGCGTCGCCAGAATCCCCATAGGAAAGCATTGAATAATGCGTGGAGCGTGGGCAGAGCCTGGCCCAGCGCCGAGGGATAGCGGCGCTGGATCCAGGTAAGTCACTGAAGGGGTTTTAAGTCAATGAAGGGGCACTGCAGGGTCCTGCAGTGCCAGGAAAACAGATATGTTTTCCTGGCACTGGAGAGTCCCTTTAAACTCATTGAAGTGGTCTGGATGCAGGCCCTGCCCCCCTAATTTTTGAGAAACATTTACATTGCAGTACTAAGTCAGCATCTAATGGCTGTCTACCAGACAGCTACTAGAGGTGCATCCGGGAGTATACCGGACTCTGGATCCACTAAATGACACTGGACATCCTCACTCTGCAAAAGGACATCCAGCACCAGTGAAATCTCTATAGGAAAGCTTTGCGTCAATTAATTTCTATGGGGAAGACCTAACTTGCTCGCAACGCTTGCCTCGCATGCACATTAGATCCCCCTATTGGAGTAGGAGCGCCAACCCAGTGCCGAGGGACATCAGCACTCCAATTGAATGAATTAATGCAGTTTTTTTTAACCCTTTATCTGCTTTGGGGTGGGGGGCAGGAGTGGTTAGTGATGAAGGCGGGTGCCAAAGGACATCATAGTGTTAGGAATACATATTTCTAATCACAACTGCTAACAATTCCATAGGTAGCCAGTTTATCTGCTTTATATCCTCCCCATTCATTTTATTTTATCCCCTTTGTTGTAAAATTATGTCTCTTGGCAGCCTTCAATGTGAGGTCAACTCAGGACAAGACAGTAATTGGTTATGCCATATTTGCAAACAATAGCAGAAGAAGGCACAAAGTGGAGATAAGTAAATAACAACATTTCTTAACTAGTAACTAGGGCATAACTAGTAAGTTATACAAGTAGTAAGTAATCTATCCAAATTAAAAACATACAATATGATAAGTCCAGGTCAGTGATTAACAGCTATTATTGATACATTGAAAGTGCATGCTATGATTTGTAGTCAGTAGAATGTGGTTGCTTGATATTATCTGTTACTTACTGTTACCAAGAGGACTGTGATTTGTAATGTGCTCCGGGATTTATTGATTAAGAAGGCACCAGTGACTACAAACATGCCAGATGTTGTTAAAATAGCAGTTAGTTTAGTCCAGGAATTAAGCTGCTGACAGGTAGAATCTTAGAGTTGGACAGCGTTTGCACAATTCTCTTAGCAGAACCATTCTGTGCAGAGCATATTTTTCCTCCAGGTATATTGGTTGAATAGAATTGTCCCTCGATATATAATCTGAAAGTGACTGTCCCTTGAACTTCCAAAATTGAACACAGCTGTACTCGACATGTGTTCTCCTGACATGAAGCACGCATAACGGGAAAAGCGTTGGCACACGCTCGCAACAGCCACATGTCACAGTGTCTTGGTTTTATAACCTGATTAATTAACAAAATGTGTAGCTGAAATATTATATGTCTTCAGCTACTGAAAGTCCAAATGTAGTCAGATGTGACAGTTCCTTAGGAGCAAGAAAGAAAAGTGTTAGAAAAGCAATAAATGGAATGCGGGAAGTGCAATATTGTGCATATTCAGAGCCCCACGGGACTAGACCAGAAAGATTATTGCCAGACACAGTGAAAACAACTATCAGAGCTGAATTGGTCACCTAGCTTTTAAGTGTTTTCCACATAAACATCAAGATGTATCTATTTCTTTAAAAAAAAGTTTACATTCATATTTGGAACTTTAAAAGCTTTGATGTTTAAAAAGATAACAAAAAGAAATAAAAAAGAAACAATTTTAATAGACAAACACAGTCTACCTGCTATTTGATTAATCTGTGGCCTAAATCTAAATAAGCATTTTTTTTTTTTAAAGATCCTGTTGCTTATGAATCCCCACCCTCCATGTTGACAGGAAAGGGGAGACCCCATCCTAAAATAAATTTCAGGTTGACAGAATTAAATTGGCAACCTATGCATTAACGTCTGTTTTTCTGCTACTTGCGTCACATTTGTGAACATCCCTCACACACCTCGTGTTATTTTGTATATTGCTGACTCGGCATAGAGAATGATTGCAATCTGCTAAAATTCACTTCACTGGAAATTTGTGAAAAGGAAAGGGTGGGACTGGACAATACTGTTTTTCTTACCACCCTTTGCAGATATAGGCAGTGTGAGGGATAACTAATAAGATTTATACAAGATGACTCAATATTAATGACAGAAAGGGGGAACTGCGCACTGCATCATGTGTGTTCTGTCCGAGAGGTAAAAGTCAAACAAATAAATGCTTAGTTCTACATGTCAGCAATATTAACTTGCTTGGCAATTAAAATGGATACAAGTCTTCTCTCAAATTCTAATGATATACGTAGAGAGGGAGATTGAGAACGTTCATTTCTTTTTCCATGTTTAAGTTTTTATTAGTTTTTCAATAAAAAATACAGTAAATGCAGTAAAATAATACAGGTAGTTTCAGGTGGCACATAGCAAAGATAGCGTATAAAACAGCATAAATGGAGAGAGATAATTTCTACAATATCTCTTTAACTATATGTGCTGTATTTCTTAGTTCTTGGTCACAGCTTTGTTTTGGCAGCTCTGTGTTTCCTCAGGCCTTGTAGGTCAACTTGTTTTAAAGGAACAGAACCTTCAGCCTACCAGGCCTGACAGCACCACCCCAGCAACAAGACTGTTATCAAGTAGAGATGTCGCGAACCGTCTGCGAACTTCTCGCGAACTGTTCGTGGCGAACTCCGGTCAGATGACACATCCCGGCCAATCTCCAGCAGACCCTCCCTCCCAGACCCTCCTACTTCCTGGACATCCTGGACATCCATGTTGAAGGCAGTTTGGATGCTGTCCAGGAAGTAGGAGGGTCTGGGAGGGAGGGTCTGCTGGAAATTGGCCGGGATGTGTCAGCTGACCGGAGTTCGCAAGAAGTTCGCGGACGGTTCGCGACATCTCTATTATCAAGATGTATAAAAAAGGGAACTCACGTTGGCACTCACTGGATTTTAATAAGAAAAATGCTTTTTTACTTGCATGATTTTAAGCATAAAAGAACATCATTGCATAACTAAATATAACATAGTATGTGTATTAAGAGATCTTTACAGCTAAAATAAAATCACCAAATCTTATTTTCAAATCAGATAATATATTGTGAGCCTTTTAAATAACCCATGCTCCTTTTACAGCCCTTTATCATGCTCCAACTTCTTCCTCTGTAGCTCTGACTCTAACTCCCTCTCACACTCACCTGTTCTCTCTCCTGGCAGGATGTGTGGGCTCAGGTCAGCAATAAAGAAACTCTGGCATCACATAGTGATGACATTATTTTTTTTCCAATGTGTTTTATTTAAGCATATTTTGAATCATCCGTATAAAAACAGAATACAAAACAAAACAAGGGATACAGAAGGAAAAAGGGGAAGGGGGGGAGGCAGCTTGCATAGGTTACATCATACAATACAATATGGTAGAACAAACTGTGGTAATAAGTCAATATAGAAGAGACAATTTACATTTTGATCAACATGTTACATAACGTTGATGGTTATACAAGTAAACAACTTGGTGCCATATATAATGAGCTGGAACACTTAACTCAGAGAGTAGGGGTGGGAAAACCCGGGGGGGGGGGTTGATGACCGATCTATAGCCCCTGATGAGGCTCTCCCTTTCTATAGTCCACCCATCTCTGCCACCGTGTTTTGTACCTACTTTGACTGCTGGTCAGCCAGCTAGCCATGCGCTCGTATGCGTGAGTTGAGTCTAGCCTGCCTAGGATTTCTGGCAACGTTGGTGTCAGAGGGGACTTCCATCTATGCGCAATGGCAGTTTTGGTGGCCATTAAACAGTGAATCGTGAAGAAGATCGTTTCTTCAGGGAGCACTCTGGTGTCTGAGGTACTTTTACACCCAGAATTTTATGAAGAAGTGCATGTATATCCCGCCAAAGCGTGGTGATGTGTGTGCATGACCAAAATATATGGAAGAGGGACCCCTCGCAGTTGTGGCATCTCCAACATCGATCGTCAGATCCCGGATAGATATGGGCCAGTTTAGTGGGGACTAGATACCAGCGCATCGTTAATTTGCAGAATGTTTCCTACTGGTTAAGACTATGGGAAGCCTGTTTAGTTAATCTTTGGGCGTGATGCCACATTTCTATTGGGAAATGCTTTCCTAGCTCGGATTCCCATTTGGACATATATGATGGTTTAGTTAGCTTATTGTGAAGTAATAGTGTGTTGTAACATAGGGACAATGCTTTAGTTTTTGGTAGTTTGCCCATGCATTTATGGATAAATGGCGGTAAGTGATTGGGTTCCCCCAAGCTAATCCTGCATTCCTGTATAATATTTTTTATTCTGAGGTAAGAGAATAGTTCTCGCGAAGAGATATGGAGTTCCCTGGTTAAGTCTGGGAAGGACTTGATGCCGTCTGGGGTCAGTAGGGAGCGACCTTGGGAGATCCCCTGGTTGAGCCAATTATCTAATTGAATGTCTGACGTTCGGGCAGCCAGGGCCTGAAGTGGGGCTGCAAGGAGCAGGTCATTGTTTTGTAGGAATAGCGGTGTAATTTGCTTCCAGTTTTGGAGGAGCGAGACCGTGGTGGGTAGCAAGGATTTGGCTTTGGGGAATTTTGACCCTGCCCAAAGGGACAGAGGAATTGAGCCATTGGGTGTGCAAGCGTTCTCCAACGCAAGCCATACCGGGGGAGAAGGACGCTCAAGGATCGTGAGGCCCTGAGCCAACAACGACGCCTTATAATAAAGATTTATATTAGGAACGCCTAGCCCCCCTTTTGTAAACGGGCGCAAGAGTGATTTTTGCGCTATTCTAGGGGGTTTTCGTTTCCAGATATGAGTAGTGATGACATTATTGATGTTCTGTACACAGTAATTGTCACATGACACACACGGCACTAGGACTATTCATATAATTCATTCATTCTGAGACTCCCTACTTTTGGTTCCTTCCTGCTCAATATCTGAAATCTTTTATTTTCCAGTTACTGCTGCCCTGTGTTTGTGCACACCTTCACCAGTTATTCTTTGAAAGTCCTAGCAGGCATGCTTTTGTTCAGTGGCTCATCCTATGTATGAATGTAGCTTTACAGGCGAAGAACGAAGCATAGCTGCTGTTCTGTTTTGAAACATCACCTTAACAGAACAGAGAAATTGTTTTCTCTGAACCTTTTATGAAACACTTGCTCTAAATGTTTTCTTAAAATATATCCTATTTATCATAATTCTGTTTTTACTCTTGACCCCCGATTGTTTTATTCTTTTATTCTACTATCCATCTTTTTATGCTCTTGTTTTTGCATCTAAATCTCATAACTTTAAACCCTCCACAACCCCCCAGAAATCTGCATCTCTCTGACGAGGAGCAACAAAAATGCAAACATTTTCTGCTCAATTCCTTTTGTTTCAGTTTCGTTGCACATGGTTGCACTTAGCACGTCTTTCTAAACATTTACATATTTTCATCTACCAAGGCATATTTTTTTGGAATCTGTTATTCTGTTTGTATGCTCTGATGTTAATAGATTTATTTTACTTTTGTGTTATTATAAAATGTGTGACTGTCACTTCTCAAAAATTTCGGCAGCCCAGAAGCCAACTAGAACTATTTTTTTTCTCAGTTTGACATAATGTTCAGATGTTTGTTTATTTCTTTTTTCACATTCACATTGTATTCCACGCTTTCTATAATGCAATGACACAGGCAAAGTGGGAGTGCAAGTGCATGATTGACTTTATATAGAGCATGCATGCTCTTGTAAGACGCCTAAATGTGCATGAACACAACCAGAGCATCATGCAATAATAACATCACCCACCCCCAGAAATGCTGCAAAAGAACATCTGGTTTGTACTTACCTCTGCTTCACTCCTTGCCACAGTTTGTGTAGGAACTGTCACTATCAGTTTAATCGTTAAAGGGAATTGTTTACATTATGGTGGCAGGCAGTAGACTTTATTTAAAACAGTATGATACACTAAAATGTCTTGTGTTTTCCTGTGTTTAGGTCGGATTTTGGATTTGAAAACTGGCACCGTGAAAAAAGAAGGACAACAGTCTTCTATGCGTATGTGTATGGGGTCCAGACGGTCATTCATTTGTAGGATGAGGTAATCCCGATGCTGGTGTGCAGTTTGTTACTATGGAACGTAACAAAAGGTTTTAGAAAGGCAAATGAAATTCGAGGATCACTGTTTTAAATGGATACTATAGGCATCAAAACAACTTTAGAAGTTTGGCAGAGAACTGAGCAGTGAAACCTGTACATCACGCCACTGTTGTTTCACTGTTCGATTCTCTGCCATTGAGATTTTCAATCACTTTGTTGCTGTTTATGCAACCCTTCATTGGCTGTGACTCACAGAGCCTGCATGGGAAAAAAAAATCAGTCTGTCATTAACTTGCTTTAGAAGTTTTTATCTCATGTAAATTGAACTTTAATCATACAGAACATGCTTATGCAGGGTTTAAGAGGATATTAAAAGAGCAGGGGATAAGAAATTCTAGCTTGAACAAACTGTGCAATAAAGGAACCTAAAATATCTAGGTTTAGGAAGTCTGTGCAAGACACAAGCAGGGTGGTGCGGCTAGGGGTGTATAAACAAAGGGATTTAACTCCTAAATGTCAGAGAATTGGGCAGTGAGCAATGATATATATACCAAAGTTAAGCTAAAGTTTTTTTGGTGCCTATAATGTCTCTTAGTTTCAGCTGGACCCAACTATCAATCACTTGGAATGAGAGTGATCTTTTATGAAAAGTGCTTGTTTCTTTGAAATTCCAAAGCAATCAAAAGATAAACATGAGACAAAATAGGGACTAATGTATCTTATGTCAGACCCGTTTTTTGGCAAAATGTGGCAGTGGCTGCAACGGCTAATGAGAACAGACATCATCTTTCATGATGTACTATAATGGGCATTAGGCATCTATCAAGTTCCAGATAATCTCTGGAAGATCATTCAATCTTGTGAGATATTTCATAGGCCTGTTTAATTGTATTGTGTGTGCATTGATGTGAAGAAGGATGGGAGCAGGAAGGTAGTTTCATCAAGGAGGAAGAGCCTCAGGTAAGTAGATCTCCCTACTTGTGCTTCCCCTGGCCGCCACCTTACAAGAGGACTTGTCACATTGGGGGTTCTGATAAAAAAAAACAAAAAAAAACAACAACCCACAAGTGGCACTGTCACTTTTCAGTGTAATATCTTGCTCTCTGCACCTTTCACACCTCTTTGTGGAGAAAAGTATCATTTGAGTAGATTATAATTATTTCTGTAGTATTCCACCAGAGATCATAATCATTACCGATCTTCTATGATACATTGACTGCTAAGGTGTCTAACTGGCAAAGTTATTAATGTATGATTAACATGTTGTTTTGCTTGTGCAGTGGAAGTGGGATCATAACAGGGTTGCCTGTCTACGGCTACAAATTCTATTTAAAGTTGGAGGGCATGCAAAAGCAGCCCTGCATTTTTCCTGATTCTATTTTACTACAAAAAAAGTCTTCACGAACCACTGGAATTTCAGCCATTGTGCATGAAAAGAATGTCATAAAAATAATTATGTTTTTGGCTCCTGCTTAAACTGGTCATGGTTGCTTTCCACTAATTTATTAGACTTAGAAATTTGAGGAGGATGATGCATGTCCCCCACCACCAAAGATATTTGTTAAAGACAGCAAAGAAAGAGATGAAGTCACCGTAAAGAAACATTACCTTCCCGTGCATTCCTAAGAATCCAGCATGGTGGTTCTTGGCTAAAGAGGGAGTAATGTATTTTTTGTTTTTATTTTCATGTCCTATGCATGTTAGAATCAATAAAACTGCTATATACTGTGTGCCGTTATATGTACCCATCTTCAATACCCTCTTACTGGACGTTGTCAGTGGTTGTCCAGTGCCAGGCAGCCTGTGGATCATGTAAGCTATGACCCATGATTTGATGTTTATGTTGTTCTAATGTTGGGTTCTCTGGCAATTCAAATGCACAGTGTGCACATAAAAGTGATCTCACCAGGCATCCACTGCACACGTATTAGTACTTTGCTGCATGCATTAGTCACCTAGCGTTGTATCTCATAGTTGGTTTTAGAAGCCTGCAAAAGTATTATTTTTACATGTATAGTGCCAGTGGAGTATTTTGGTTTTGTGCTGCCCTAGGCATGACCAAACTCGGTCACCCCCCCTTTCCAAATTTCTCTTCATGACTGTCACGTATTCATCCGCTTATAGAAATGTGGTTAATTACATTTACTGTCCACACAGGAAAAGTTGTGCCGAGCAGCAACCTAATCCACAGAAGGGTTAATGCTGAGCAGCAATTATGCAAATGAAACCTGGTAACTGACTTTGGGGTCAAAGGCCGATTACAGCCTATCAGAACTAAAGGAGGGGTATTTAGGCCCAGTTCTCAGCCTGCTCAGTGCCCTGTCGTGGTTTCCCTTGTGGTTGTCCGAGAGCGCGTTCCTGTTTATAGTTTTCTACCTGGTTTTTGACTTTGGCTTTGTTTATTGACTTCTCTATATTCTGGTATCCTGACTCCTGGCTTTCCTCATCGCTGTGTCCCTTTCTGTGTTCCCTGACCTCGGCTAGTATTTTTGACTATTCTGTGTACGTTAAATCCGGCCATTCTAAGGACCGGTAATACGTTACTTATTTGTCATCCGTGCTATACAGTTCTACGTGCTGGATCAAACAGTAATCCTGACAATGACAGACACACACCCTCACAGATACACATTCATTGTCACACACATTGTTTAACCAACACACACTTTCACTGAAACATACACATTCACAGACATGCACACTCACTCATTCACAGTTACACTCACAGTTACACACACACTCATATTCACCGACAGACACACATATACACTAACTGACAGATACACATTCACCGACAGACACATACACACTCACTGTCAAACACACATACACACTCACTTACAGACACATATACACTCTCAGTGACAGACTAACAGACACACACTAACACTGAATAACAGACACACACTAATGCTCACTAACAGACACACTAAAACTCACAGACACACACACTCTCACTAACAGACATTAACACACGCACTAATAGACATACACTCACCAACACACACACTAACAGACACACACTAATGCTCACTTACAGAGACACACTAACACTGACTAGCTGACATACACTAATACTCACCAACAGACTAACACACTCACAATTAAAAAAAAAATAAGTTTCAAACCACCCAGCCTGCTACCTGGTCCAGTGGGGCTGGCTGCAGCTTGGCAGGCGGACGGTCGGGAGGTCTGGCAGACAGGTGAGCGGTGGAGGTGGGCGGCGAGGGAGCTCTGTAACGGTTCAGCTCCCTCGCGCGCCTCTTAGTGTTGCCGGGGCCGGAGTGATGCCATATTTCGGCTCCGGCGTCACTGCATCACTGCATTGCATCAGTACAAATGCCTTGTCAGTCTCACGGTAAATACACCGCTGTATAGTGCCACTATACTAAACCTGTTTTTAATACTTGCCAAATGTGAAGTGTGTTTAAAATGAGTTTGCCCTTGATATTGTATTGTTCCTTCTGTCAATACCATATCTACCATTTTATGAAATGTTATAAATAATAAAGTATAAAAGAAAACTGCAGTAATATAATTTTTTCATTCATTTCACTACTCTGAGGCAAGTTGTAAAATGTTGACAGAAAGTAGACATGTGCATTTGTTGCAATCTTCTTTAAAGGGATACTATAGTGCTGTGAATACAAAGTTGTATTTCTAGCACTATAGCTCCCCGTGCCCCCCCTCACAGCCCCCAACCTCACAGTGTAAGGGTTAATAAACCCTTACTGTACTTACCTAATTCCAGCCACGCTCTCCCTTGGCAGCTGGGTTGGTCCTCTGCCATTTTCAAAGTTACCCGACAGGGATGTAAATGTGCATGCACGGCAAAAGCCGCAAGCGCATTAGGCCCTCCCATGGGGATTTGACTGAGGCTGGATGTCCAAAAGTAGCTTAACCATCAAGAAATGACTCTAGTGGCTGTTTAATTGACAGCCACTATAGACAGTCTTAACCCTGCAAGATATTTATTGCATTTCTCATAAACTGTAATAATTACTCTTGCAGGGTTAAGGAGACAGGGTCACTGTACCCAGACAACTTCAATGAACTAAAGTGGTTTGGGTGCCTGTAGTGTCCCGTTAATAATTAATGCTGAATTTTGCACTTCACATATGTTCAACAGTCTTTTTTTTTTACCAAACTTCATTGTGCTTACTCTTGTGTGTTGATTGACTCAAAGTAGAGTAAACCTTAAAGATTTGTTTCTGTGTAATATTTCTTAGAATAGACAAGACTCTGTAGGTCTGAATCTAAAACTCCTTTCAGTCCAATCCCGAACAAATCGATCCGGCCAGCTGTTGCGGCTCCCGACCGGCAAGACCTCGACGATATTGCGAGCTTACCTGCTTGCCGGCGAGCCGGGAACCGCTCCTACGCGTCTTCTGGGCATTGCGCCCAAATCAAAGATGGTGCTGACCATGTGGTCGCGCACACCACAAGCTCCGCCCCTCAAATTTATACGGACGTGCGCGTGACGTCACCCTCTGACCAATTAGAGTTTATTATTTTAATCCCTAATTCACTCCAGTTCCTTGCCCTGTCGTGGTTTCCTGTTCCTGGTTCCCGAGAGTGCGTTTATCTGTGTGAATCTGACTTCCTGATGTCCTGATCTTGGCTTTTCCCTGGTTATTCCGAATTCTGGTTCTCCTAACTTGGCTTGTTTAAATGGTATTGGAGTATTTCTGGCTTCCTTGACCTCAGCTTTCCCTTTGACCATTCTCTATCTCTAGCGTATTAGTCCGGCCATTCTAAGGTCCGGTTTATGCTCTGTCCTTTTATTTCCTTTACTTTTTTACGTATATGTTACATAGTTTCTGCGTGTTGGACCACACTAGCAGCCGTGACACCAGCATTTACCTGTGGAATTTTATTCAATAAATAGGTCTCAGTTCAGACTTCACCTGTTAATCTTGGGCAAATTGATTTGTTCGGTTATTGATTGAAAGGAAATTCATTAAGATGAATCGAACAAAACTAATTGTGGCACAAGTGTAGTGCAAACCACCTTTATTGTTACAGTACCCTAGTGCTGTATTCATATCAGGAATACGCTGGAAGGAGCATATTGGAATATTAGTAGAACATTGGGCACAAGCTCCCTTGCTTACACTTCCTGTATTGCAGAGGTGGTCCACTCCACTGCCAAAAAGCGTGCTGCTTTGGTCACGTGGACATGATGCTTGGCAAAGGCCTGGTACACTTGGATGTAAAGGTCCTGGAATAGTTAATGGATACATAGAACTGGGCATAGAGTTCATAGTGCTAAACACAAAACTACAATACTGCATTAATACCAATTAGTAGAAAAGGCCTCCCGACCCTGATACTCTCCCATTATTAGACATTTAACACACATTAGCTGTTCTAATGTTTGTTTATTTCTCTGTTTCTCTTACCATTTGCTAATTCATTACAATTCTATTGAATTACTATAGGTGCGGTAATGCTCCGTTGGATCACTTACCTCTTAACAGGTTAAGCACAATGCGGAAGAGGTACAGGTAAGGGTCCTAGACCATAATAGTTTCACATTTACCTCTCTCTCTCTCTCTTTCTCTGTTATTTGTCTTCTTTAAACCATACTTGGTTTTGGCCCTTGTAACTCTGCTTTCTATCCATTGTCATTGTGGAATCCCTGCCGCCATGTGGAGCACTCTCTTATGTTTTTCAGGAATGGACTTGGACCTGTAAAGGAGGGAGAGGCACAGTATTCTGTGGTTCACTGTACAGGGTACATTAAGGCCTGGCCCCCAGCAGGTAAGAGAGGTGTGTAAAGGACGAGTGGTTCCCTGAGGCTCTCAGTTTTACAAGGGTTGAACTGAAACATCTACGCTCAGTTGTTACTTAACATGGGTCACGCCATTACCTAAAATACAAGTTAAAATAATTTCCATACCATATTAATTTGATTGTATTGGCTATTGCAGAATGCATCATGTGAAGCATCTGTGTGTCCGATAAGTAATAAATCGTCTTTTATCTGCTTTGCAGTCGATCTATATTTTTCCTTGACTTGGTGCTTCCTTAATACATGGTAGTAAGATGGAATAGACATTAAAGGAACACTATAGTCACCTAAATTACTTTAGCTAAATAAAGCAGTTTTAGTGTATAGATCATTCCCCTGCAATTTCACTGCTCAATTCACTGTCATTTAGGAGTTAAATCACTTTGTTTCTGTTTATGCAGCCCTAGCCACACCTCCCCTGGCTATGATTGACAGAGCCTGCATGAAAAAAAAACTGGTTTCACTTTCAAACAGATGTAATTTACCTTAAATAATTGTATCTTAATCTCTAAATTGAACTTTAATCACATACAGGAGGCTCTTGCAGGGTCTAGCAAGCTATTAACATAGCAGGGGATAAGAAAATCTTAATTAAACAGAACTTGCAATAAAGAAAGCCTAAATAGGGCTCTCTTTACAGGAAGTGTTTATGGAAGGCTGTGCAAGTCACATGCAGGGAGGTGTGACTAGGGTTCATAAACAAAGGGATTTAACTCCTAAATGGCAGAGGATTGAGGCTGCAGGGGCATGTTCTATACACCAAAACTGCTTCATTAAGCTAAAGTTGTTTAGGTGACTATAGTGTCCCTTTAATACCTTTAAAGTCAGTTTCTATTCCAAATGGGAAATGGGAACTATCCTCACCCAAACAAATTTTGTTATTTTAGTTTCTTTACTTTTGTGTATATATGTCTGCTTGTAAAGCTGGTTTACCTGTGTGTACGTGCGTGTGTTTGTGTATATATATATATATTTACTTTTGCTATGTTTAAAAATAATTCATGTCTCAAAAACAGAACATAAAATATTTGTAGACTCCTTGATGTGCCAAGTTGAGTCACTACCCAAAGATATGCAGATGTTTAAACAAATAATCTCTGCTGGTTCTTGAAACTACTGTTTTAAATATTCTAAAAAGCAAACACGTTTCGTTATACCGTTTTTTTGTACTTGTTTACTTTGAAACGTCCGTCGGTTTCTAAGTATATCCATTTTGTATACAGAAAGAATTACATTAGGTATGCATTATAGTTTTACGTAATCATATACATAGACAAAAGAAAAAAAAAAAGGAAATCCTACCATTTAAATCAACCATTCAAGCTTTTTCTTTTTTTTTTTTTTGGGGCCTCATGCCATCTATAATGAGCCAAATAAATTAAATGCATTTTAAAAATATATTCCCATTACCGTAACACTTCCTACTGCCATCCTGTCGTATTTATACAACTTGTTTAAGTGCTGTTGTTTAGGGTATTTTTGTGTAGGGTTTTTTTAAGTTAAGCTGTGTCAGGATTCATTTGGGTATTTGCATTAATAAGCATTTTCCATAGTGAATGCTCAACAAAAGTCATGTTTTCTTTCTGTTGAATTTGTATAAAGTTTGTTTTAGAGTTTTGAAGTTTAATGCTGTACAACAAATCTTATTTAATTTCAATATTCAAAGGGACATTATATGCACCATGACCACTAAAACATAGCATATTAGTTATGGTGCAAAGTGTCTGCTGTCCAGGTTGGATGGAATTCACATGAATGGGTTTAGTGAAGTTGATGAAGAATCTATTCAACCCTTGGGAGTAGCAGATTCAAATCCCAGCAGGGTTGACTCGGTCCTTCATCCTTCAGAGGTAATAGTAACATCCCCAACATCAGTAAATAGTAACATCCCCAGGACGTACTTGGAAACCAGAGTAATCTGAATGACAATACTTTGTTTTTATTAATGCAGAAGAAGTGGGGGCACTCTCTCAATTCCACAGAGATCATTTTTTTCCCCCCAACACACCTCCCATAATGGTATATATTGTGACTAATTGATGCACTAATAGTATTGTATTTAATCCTTCAATCACTTTTTAAATAATTATCTGTTTGTTACATTTTTAATAGTTTCCATAATATACTACTGTAGAGGGAGTATTGTAGTTGTGGGGTTTTTTAAAACTTTTTTTCCTCCCTGATTGTGTCTCCAAAAGATCAGCTTGGGGACCCATCCTTAAGTTTTAATATCCTATTTACCATCTGAAAATTCTAAAATAACAAAAAGAAAAGTGCAATCATTAGACTTCTACATCGTTTAGAGGTTACACTGGAAAAGCAGAGGTTACACTGGAACAGCTTATTGCAGGCTTTTGCCCGGGGGCCGGATGAGTACGATGTTGTTGCTCCAACCAATGAAGCCCACTGAAATGCGTGAAGACCCAATTTTGGCCCGACCTAACAGACCCATTATTTTAGTTTTTAGTCGACCATAGCTTTAAACGATGCTGAAAAGAGTTTCCTGGAACTGAGACTGTATATAGAACATACAGAATATTTAGAATCCAAATGGTGAAGTTTAATATTTGAAATGTTGGCACATCTAGAAGTTCAGCATGATCTGTTCCAAATAGAAATGTGACTATATTTTCTGGAAAAACTACAGCTATGTGAAAACGGGCACTCCAGGCATGTACACTTGTTTGGTCTAATGTCTAGATCAGCTGCAGTTAGTTGTGTTCGTGATAGTTCACGTAATATTCTGTACAGTTTAGGTTAGGGATAGGCAACCTTCAGCACTCCAGATGTTGTGGACTACATCTCTCTTAATGCTTTTACATCCATATAAATAATTGTGCAATCTCTAACTCTAAGCATGATCTGTTTGGTCATAATTTTACCTTTGCAGCTGTTTTTAGGGTTATTTGCTAAAGTGAGAATTCAAATTTAAGGCAAAAATAGTCAGCTATGCTTTCAGCGTGGTTACTGGGCTTTAAATTTGAGATTAATTTATTATATTATTATTATTTAAATTATTCAGTGAATAGCCCTATATGTGTGTAATAGTGCAGGATAATCACTAATCATTAACCACAGTTTGAAGCATGCATGGAATTTTTTTGTTTATTTATTTATTTTAATCTTCTGCTTGTTTTTATTTGTTTTTGTTTAGTTTTTTTACTGTGTAAATGTTTTATTCAGTACTAAAAACTGAATTGATAAACTCTCTAGATTTCTGCAGGTTGCTATATGCAATCTGTGCTCAATCAATTTGTTTATTATTCTAGAGCAGACCCCCAAGTTCTGTTATTTACTGACCAGAATATCTAAACATTCCCATGTCATTCTTATATTGTGTGTACATAAATGTATTAGGACGTAGATAGAGTGAACTACAAGTGACTCCAGTTCTAGACTAACTGCGTGTAGAATTTTGATGTTGGAATTTGTTGGATTAACAAAATGTCTGTGATTAAAGGGACTCTAACATGTAGAAAACAACTTTGTATGAGCGTATGATGCTTGTGACTTCACAAGCAAAGTAGAGCACACTGCTTTTGAAAGCAATCCTATTAAAAGCGCTTACAAAAATGCAGAATTACTGTGAGCTGACCTGTCCTGTTTTGGCTGTAAATGTGAGCAGTCCTTGGTATTTACAACTGCCTTCTTTTGCAAAAGGAAGCTGAAAAATGAGCTATAAAGTCCTATGTGCAGAAATGTTCTTTGTTGGCAAAAACTTGATAACCTTTAGCATACATTTTTAACAAGGTAAGGTAAGGCTGAGAATTCTATTGATATAGAATCAGATGGGTATTAAAGCGGCATGGTCACCGACTGGGGACCTTGCTAAATTAAACATCACTGAGGGTCAGGTGGCCAGGGGAGGTCTGGCAGGTTAGATTTGCTTACCTGATTTGCTTACCTGAACCTGTCCCTCGCGGGCACCGTCATCTTCCTCAGACAGGACCGCAGGATCTTCCATAGATAGAGCTATTTTCCTGCAGGGGAGATTGGCACTTAGACTATGCCCAGAGTTAGGCAGAGGAAATATCTAGAGACAAAGTAGTCTTTTCTTTGTCTCTGTATATCTGTTGACTGGGTTGGAATTTCAGTGATTCTATCTTTATGATTTTTCAGGGGTGGGGATGACAGTGCTGCTTTAGGCATTGTCAGCATCATAATCATTCAAGCTTATTGTAGTAGCTCTCCCTGCACCCAAAGCCTATCCGCTCTGCTATATCTAAAACAAAACAGAAGTTAAACCTTCACGTTCTCCAAGCATATCAATCCAAATTTGGATTTCCCATATTGGCTTGTGAGCACTGAGAGGAATACCTGCCCACAGTATATTCTTTACTGCAGTAACATTGGTTTCCTTAATGCCATGGAGCCCCCTAAGACTCATAAGAATCTAATGAAAGTGTTATAGAAAACATATTACATTATGCATTACATTTTAATTAAAGAACGGTTAATTGAGCTAATGCCTTTTGTAAAAGGTTAAAGGGACATATAGTCAGCAGAACTACAACTTAATGTAGTTGTTCTGGTTTCTACTGCCTGTCCCTGCCTTTTCAGAAAACGCCTAGGAAAACCTTTAGTGGCAGCCACTCAGTTGCATGGAGACGCTGAACATTCCCCATAAAGATACATTGGTTTAATGCATCTCTATGAGGCGATGCTGATGCTGATTGGTGCAGCACAGCATTTTGCAGCTCATTCACAATAGCCTCCCAATTTTCCTATAGAATAAATATATGGATTTACTGAGATCATTAAGATTGATGATCTCACCCAAGGAGACAAAGCAGGAGCGGAGCCAGCCTCGAGGAGACCTGTGCGGCAATGGAAAAAAGGTACATTTTATACCTTTTTAACTGGGGACAAGAGGAGACATTTAGGTATCTAAACCTTTAGATACCTAAATGGTGGTTTCAAATATAGTGTCAGAAATACAAGTTTGTATTCTTGACACTATATTGTTCCTTTAATAATCTGTGATTTAGAGTGAATAGCCTAGCCTGCTGCCCAGGATCTAGGCTTCTCTGCTTTCAATAGTTGCATGTTACTACATATTGCTCTTTTCACTCATGACATTTTATATACAATATAAATGCAAAACATGTCATCAGAGTTAGCCATTGGCACATTGCACGGGGTTATGCCCAACTTAGTCAGGCCTGGATTTCATATGAATTTGACAAGTCTGCTAGAGTTACAAACTACAATATTTTTACACTAACACAGAGCACTGATTGCCTTCATGCCCTCAGCAAACACCGTCTCCTTATATCCACTGCTGGGATCAGGCTTCTTGTGGCTGCAACTTCTCAACATGCCATAGACCTTACCCTACTGTCCTATCTAGATTGTGAACTAGCACAACCTGTGCCTCATCCCCTTTGTGTTTACGCTTGTGGTGTCATAAAACGTTCTAGGCATCGTTCCCAGTTGTGCTGCTGGGAGAACTTCTAAAAGATCTATATTTAAAGCATAATAAGAAGAAAGATAGGAAGGGAGATAGATAAGTACAAATACAGAAATTTTCAAATTGTTTTTTTTTTTAATTTGCATGAGTTAATGTTGCCCCTCTGTAACCTGTGCAGATTCCTATATCTTAGTGTAAGCAGTTTTGTCCTGGGGGACAGGCCATTTTCCTCCGAAATTCTATATATAGAATTGTTTAGCCTGGAGCGATCAGTCCCTTTTTGTTAATGTATGGCAGGTGGGAATTCAGCATTCCAACACACGCAAAGGGAATGTTAATACTGATTGTATGTTTAGATCCGAGCGAGCCCACTGATGGTAGATAATGAAGAATAAGGCCTCCCGACTGACCCACTCAACTTTATAATGAACAAATAAAAACTGTCAAATGGAAACAATCCAAGTAATTGTAAACAAATTAATTCTGAAATGTCAAAAGCAGAGTAAGAAGAACTTTGCATGCTTTGTGCTTTAACCCATTTATTGAAAGCTAAACGTTTTCTAAACTTTTGCAATCTTAGATTTTCTAGAAATGGATTGATGTGTTGCCATATTTTTATAGTTTATATTGGTACACCTAAACTGTTTAGGCACAAAATGAGCTTACCCAACCAATTTTAATATTGCTGCCAACTAATTGATTTTTTTGTAACAATCTAAACCTCACTGTTATGTCAGTGATGCTGGTGCAAAGGGGACTCTGGGAAATCTTGAACTGAACTATCTGACACGAAAGAGCTGGGAAATTCCAGTGATAGCGGATAAAAGATGCTGGTGATTTGCTGGTGTTTTCCAGCATCTATTTTTTACTATAGCAATAAACCAACATGGCCATATGTATTAAATATTTCATATGCCTTGGTTTACATAAATGTTTAGGGGCAAATCACATCCTTTACACCTGCAAGTTTTATTTTTAGTTTATTCGACTGGTTTATAGAATCCTGTCATAAAATAGTTTTTTCCCCCTTGCCTTGATTGTCCTTGATTATGGTATCCAGACTGTTGGGTGAATCTCATTGTGGCCAAGAATGGTCGCTATAAAACTCTATTATATATGTAGAGGGCCTGTCCTTTGAGCCCATGTTGTGACTGCCCTCAGTATACTTTCTTAAAGTAACATGACTCTTTGCGAGATTAGTCATTTCAGTTTATATTGTAAAGTCCAGGCTGCGTCATGTGCTATAGACATGAAAGCCTCCAACAGTCTTCATTTCCACAACAAGTAATCTCTTGACAATCATCTCTGTCCAAAAATACCATTAGACCCATTACTCTAGCTTTTTATTTGACTGATTAGATGTATATTCTTTTAGAAGCAATGCTCTGTGCAGCGTTTAATTCTAAAAAAAAGTTTCTTGTGAATCGGTAAATGAAACCAAAAATAATGCAGTGAATAAGTACGCAGAATATTAACAATTCTAGGAAAAGACAATTCCACTTTAAGTCTAAATGTACATTTTGTTAAAACACGTCAGCCAGGCCTCAACAAATAATAACACATTAAAAACAAAAGAAAAAATAAGACTGCTGACTGAGAGATGTACTGAATCCCCGCTGTTCCAAGCTTTCTTACAGTGTAGATATCTTTGCCAACTTTAAGAACCTGAAAGAAGACATTTTGTTCTTTAATAACCTGTTCCTTCTCTCTTAACTTGTTTTCCCTTTCCCATAACCTATTGTGCAGAGCAGCAGAATATGTTGGTGCTTAGAATATAAACTTATAATCATAACCTCTTTACACACCCTTTTTAAAAATTTCTCTCATACTGATCCCAGTTCATAAAATTCCCTGTCTCGTTTGAGTTTGTAACCCTCCTTAAAACCCGCCCATTTATTGTTGCAAATGTTTCTGGAAGAAGTGGTAGTATTGACAGTCACATATCCATTGACAGCATTGCAACTGTGTGTTTTGTAAACCTATTTATATTATTAGCTCTCAGAAGTTGATTGTATGATCCTTATTGAACAGCTCTTGGTCTATGTTTCAGGGGGGAGAATTTGATAAAATATCAGATGTAACAATTTACACGCATGTTTTCCTTGTTCGTAAGTCTTGAGAAGTGAGAACCTTACAGACCAGTGGCAGAACTAATAGTGAGCCGATTCAAGATTTTGCCCCTTACTCCCCTCTAATAGAATTAATCGTTTTGTAACAAAGATACATTTAAAATGTGGATTATAGTTTCTAATAATTTTTAAAATATGTATATAAATATAAATGGAGGTTCTAACTCTGAAAATATTAGAAATGCCCTACTGTCCAAATAAAAAAAAAAACATAAACAAGGGCAGCACAACAGAATTATATGTACACAAACAGTGCTACAAAGGTTTTATTGAAGTACCAAGTGTAATACAGGAAACAGTTTAGACATTAAAGGAACACTATAGGTTCCTGAACTTACCTTTATTCCAGCGTCGCACGGGTCTACTCTTGCTGCGCCTCCTTGGCTGAGATCATCAGAATTGAGAATCTCAGCCAATCCAATGCAGTGGCTTATATTGTCAGTTTTGATGATCTCAGGGGGTGGAGCCAAACACCCCCAGAGTCAATCAGCATCTCCTCATAGAGATGCATTGAATTAATGCATCTCTGTGAGGAAAGTTCAGTGACTCCATGCAGAGGGTGGAGGCACTGAATGTCAGTGCTGCACACAATGCAGAACTGGCCAAATGAAGCACTTCTAGCAGCCATCTGAGGAGTGACCAGTGGAGATATCTCTAGGTGGTAATGTAAACACTGTCTTTTCCTTGAAAAGACAGTGTTTACTGCAAAAAACCTGCAAGGACTGACTATACTCACCAGAACAACTCCCATTTAAGGACACGATGCATTGGGAAAGGGATCTACCTGAAACATTTGTTGTATTACATTTGGTCCTTCACATAGAATCCTGATGTGCTGCCCTAATTTTTTCATTTCTTATGCTATTGTTATTTCTTGTTGGAGCTACAATGAGAGATGCAAGCAGCACAATAGGAAGTTGCTGTTTAGTTGTGTTTTTGCTTGATGGGTACCACAGTGACCCGTACCTCTATCATTTATTTTGTAAAATAAATAAACAATTTAATATATATAAATCCCCATTGAAAATATGCATGCATTTAATTATGCATTTTTTTCATTGAGGTATATATATAATTAGCTTGCATAAGCTGCAGATCTCGTTTGCAAGCTCTACCCTTCTTCCCCAGCCCAGACTTTCTGAGGCTGTCCAATCACAGACTTCTTAATGCAGCTCAGTGTGAAGTCTTTACAAGGCAGGTGCTCTGCAGAGCAAAACAAAGCAGGAGGCAACAGGATCGGTTGTCTGATTGACAGTCACAGAGTGTAACAAGTTTAATTTATAATCATGCCAATTTCTATTGAAATCGGCACTTTTTGTAAAATGAAAAAAATACACTTTTCCAACATAAAGAACTTATACAATAATCGAAACAACAACAATAATAATAAACCTGTTATAATAAAAATACACGTAGATAAAATAAGAAAATGTGTACACTGTAATAATCAGCTCTGCTAAAACTCTGAGGATTGGCACAAAGACCTTGGCTATATAGGGTATATGTACACAGCTTTAAATGTGCTCAATTTAATAAGAAAAAAAATATCAAAATGTCATATAAAAATAATGGTAGGAAAGGAAAAAATTCCAAAGTCAAGCTTTGTATAGAAACTACATGAAGAACAATGTGCATATGAGGTGTAAATCCAAGAGAGTGACCGGCTTTAAGACCCTTGCTGGATACCACATGCCACCAACATATGATTCTTACAGTTGTGAGCCCGAAACAACCTTGACACTCAAACTAGACCAATTAGACTTTCTCAAGATGTGGTGAAAGGACCTATGCATGGCCATGACTGATATGAAATGTAATTTTCATATACTTTATATATCAATTGACCATACATAACCCTGTATAGCTTTACAAAAACAATCACATGACAAACACGTAAATTAGAACAGAGAGCTAGGTATATATTTAAGTGTGTACAATTTCCACAAAGACACTAGAGTCATGTCTTGCACTCTGTCCATATCATTATAAAAAACAAAAAAAAAGCTGATATGTATATCAAATTCAGTGATAGGCAAAGCATGTTTGACTGCACAACAAATCAAATGAAACAAATATGTTACTCTTGGAAAATATAAGTAATATGTTTTATTAATGGCTTAACCAGGGAAACACAAGTGTTTGGTAAGTGACGGAGCAATGGTGCAACATGCACCTGCAGCACCAGTAGTGGTTCGACCAGTGCTCCAGATAGACATTTAATACTTGGCCACCAGGAGGTATTATTGCTTTAAGGTACTTGCATTCGGCTGATAATAGGGCCAGATACTTTCTGTGCTATGTACCACAGTTTTTGGCGAAAAATGTATCTCTTCCCAACAAATGCTCAGTTTCTCTGTTTATTGGAAACCAGATATCCAGAGTGACCTCTCTGCAACCTTCAAATGTGTCCCTTTCTATTCTGATCATGTTGTGTTACAATAACCATACATATCTGGCGTGCCTGTTGAGTTTGCATGCTCCAGGCAGCAAGGTTTAGATTTTCCATTGCCTTATTTTAAATCCCAAATTTTGAGCAGCGACTGTCCTGCCAAGGATTTGCTTCCAAGCTGCTCTTTAAGCGTCCTGGATTTGTTCGGCAGTAGCTTGAAGAAAGTCCCATAAAAGGGAAGTGAAGCTGAATTCACATCTGGCAGATACAACAAAGATCTGACTGCCACACTGTCTTTTGATTAACCCCTTATGGTTCAGCATTAAACCATAGCGTGAGGAGATGGAGCAACATTCACCCGTAAACCCGTTGTGGTTTGAAAAATATTAAAAGTATTTGATATGTTGTGGTTATTTTTCCCTGTGTTAACAAACACTACGTTGTCTAGAACAAATTTCTGTGGTCTGATTAAATCCAGGGTCATATAAGAACGACTTATAATTTAATTTGGTACTTTTAACCCGTTATGACATATATTTTTTTATTTTTTGCTTTTGTTTTTTTAGGACTGTAATGAGTTAAATATATTTCGTTAACGCCTTATCTGAGAGGGAATAAATGCTAGGTCCTAGTCTTTGGCATGTTTGTAGTATTAAATATGTAATGAGGTCCCATTAAATTGTTCATGGCCTATCATTGTGTCAGCCATGGAGATGAAGACTCCTGTATGATTTCTTAGTTATTAATTGTAAAAGCAAAACTCTGTTTGCTTTCCTATTAATCATTGGCCTTCATGTCTCTTCTAGTGCATCACCAACAGATAATTTGAGGTGTTTTTCGAAGCTTGATCTATTGCCTCTCTGAGGGATGTAGTTTGACTCTAGTCCCCTGTAGATTCTGAAAACATTTGGTTACAATAAATAGAGAGAAGAAACAATATGTCACAGATAGGATCAGCATGCTTCTGGCATACATACAGTATCTCCACTGTTGATTCGACTGCAGGCATGTCAATGGGCCAATCAGGCACAGCTTAGCTGCAGTGGGGTCATGTATAACGTTATAGCCTAGGTTCAACCTAAAAAGAGGGCACGGCATTAGATGACTGTACTAATTATAGACTTACAAACATGTTTAAGCTAACATTGGTGATCATGTGTAAAACACATATTACAAATAGTACGTTACAGTAATAGTAATTTTTTTTAATTTTTATAGAGTGGTTTACTTAAATGAATACATTGAGATTGTTCTTTCTTTTTTGGATGTTCTGGGAAACATAAACAAGTGATAATTACTTTGTAAAATAAATCAAGATTCACCTCTTAAGTCATCATGAAAATATTCTTACTCCAAATTGTGCTGAAATAAACAGATGATCTGGGAACCAAGGAAAGAAAAAAAATGCTTTAAAAGTTGCCCACAGAGATAAACATACAATAAACTCTTAGCAAGTCATTTTGGAACTCACCTTCTGAGCCTATCGAGATTCCATCTTATTTAGTGAGTCCCTCAGGAGAACCGGATAAAATTGAACTTTTACTGCTGTTGAGCAGATTTCTTATTTTATGTTGTTGCTAAGTTATGTTCAGTTTAGATTCTTGGTATTGTGTATTAATATAGTGCATTAAAGTCTCTTTATCGATTTTTAGGCTTTACCTTTCTGAACAGCCTGACACAGTTCACAAAATACCAAGTTAGAGTTTAATTTAAGAGCATGCAGGAGTCCGTTTGCTGGACTCACCAGAGTTGAGCCCGTTGAGTGGAATTTGGAACCATTTAGTGTTGCTGACTGTGAGGGAAGACTGCCAATAGTGAAATACCAGTTTTTTTGGTATTTGGTGCTACATGTTAATATACCTTTAATTTTCCCTTGCATTGATTTTAGTATGAAAACTCAACAGAGCAAACATTGCGGGAGTCTTGTGCTCACCTTTGTGATTTGTTTGATGGTCAGTCAGTGATTTGTTTGAGGTGAATCCATCATATTTATTCCTGTATCGAGGGGTCTGGGTTATTTTCATCTCTGTATTTTTATACTCCTTGATATTTATTTGTTTGTTTGCTATCATTTCAGCAGGCAGACTATTTTCAAGGCCGTCATCTGACAATGCTAAATTGTAAAGTATAATATTTACTTTATTTTTAATATTTTAAATATTGTATTTACTCCTTTATTTGTAAAGCGAATTGAGGGGGAGTGGGTAGGAAGGTATATTTTCATGATTATTTTGAGGGTCCAGGAAAGGAAAGAGTTGGAGGAGGACTTATTTAATTTATTTATTCAGGATTATTATTATTATAACCAGATCACCAATCTGTAAACTTACCGTTGAACCAGGTATACAGCAATCTACAACAATAAGAAGAAAATACATAACAAGAAAGGGTGATGTTGTAGGACTGTGTTCTGCCCTCCGTGGGTGTTGGCTAATCCTGGACTGGGGACTGGCATATTTATATTTACTTTTTTCCATTACTTGACACCACTTCTTAATAATTAATTTGCTTTTATCCTTCAACCACAATTTATACTAGCCCCTCTATTTGGCCTAATGATGCTCATCTGATGGTAACTTTGCTAGACCGTTTCATATGTTTGTTTGTTTTTTATTTAAGTATTTCTGTCATGAATGTTATAGCTCTGATGTATTATGGCTTTACCTGCTCTAATGTTATTTTATGAGTATGTCTTACATGATCTCAATAAAAATTGATTGACAAAAAAAATAAAAAGTGGTGGTAAATAAGTGCATGGTGCTGGGAATCAGTTGTTGACCAAGACATTGGAAGAAGCAGACTCCAAACCAGCGATTACTGTACAAAAAAAACAAAAAACTTTACTGATGTCAAATAACAATGGGGGTGCTATCAAAATGTCCTAGTATGTTTCAGACTGGTGGGTAGAGCTGTATGCCTGGTTCACTTAGTCTAAGTTGTGCTTGCTGCATGCGTACAACACACACAACTTGTACAAGACTGATATTGAGCTTTCTGGCTGCCTGAATGACAGCTCTGTGGGGTCTGTAACAATTTCTAATACCCTCTTACTACATTCTACACAGGAGAAAATCCATATTACCTACCTCTTTCAAACATCCTCTTAAAATAAAAAGAGAGAAGGGCTCAGTACCAGTTCTTATCTAGTAATATGAGAGTGTAATGGCCCCATATGTTTTCATATGTCTAGTTATGTTGGAGGCTTTTGGCAATTACATAACAGTGCAGTATGTAATTATCACTGTTGTTTGGGATTTCTGAACATTTGTCAATAAGATGTGTTGTCACTGACTCACCATATTACAGCCTTGTGAAAAGTGGAAAAATGCTGAAACCAGCTCCGCACAAGATCAGCCGAAGTTTTTCCAAATTCATAACAGGAAGTTTCGAAGTCTCCAAGCGGTGCAGAATTGCATGTGATAAAAATACCTCTAACGAAACACAAATGTGCTCCATCACCTCTGATTTGCTACCAGTAAACAACATTCCAGTGTTCTGTCTGCAGAGCAGGGGAACCAGGGACATCAGTATTTCAAATATCCATAACAGACGCCTTTTAGCTCTCCAAAAAAACTGTATTTTTTCTTATTTTACTTGTATTAAAGGAATACTGGAGAGAAAAAAAGGATGGCTCGTTGGACCTTAATTCAAGAAAGCTGCACAAAACTATGCAGCTATGACTGAAATAATGTGCTCGTCACAAAACAGCTCAGACAAACCTTGATGTCATATTGAGAAGATTGTTTGACTTTTAATGTGCAACAACACATGGATCTACATTCCTGTGGTCTAAACGAGTTAATTTTAGCAATGCAGATGTCATGACTAACTCATAACCACTTTTTTGAGATGAAATAGGCATCAGCACTACCATAGGCATGAGTACTTGTGGGTGTACTAATGGGACATAGCCGTAAGAGAAAATTTGCAAACTGTTATATATATATATGTATATATATATATAGTATATACTAAATCCTTATAAAGCCTAAAATGGACATTTTGGCAGACTGTTTCCAAGTTCAAAAATGATGAAATGACAGGTGGAAGTGTGATTAAGAAAACGCATTACTAGCTGGCCCAGGGCTGTTTAGTAAATGGCCTTGGTTCTGTTTGTATTTTCTGTTATTTATTTTTTTTTAAATAGTATTGAACATGTTCACTTTATGTACTAAGGGGTAACTTGGGGTTGACATATTGCAGAAAGCATTTAGTACATCTACTTTTAAATGATTTTTGGGGGAGAATTGTGTGTGTGTGTGTGAATGTGTGTGCGTTTTGCTTTTTTTTATTCATTTTTGTTATTCTTTTATTAATTTTTGTAGCAGTTTAACTGTGAATTTTTTTCTGTGTTAAAATGTAAACAAATAGCTGTTTAAGTTTTTGACACACTTCTCATACGTATTAAATATGTACATACATTTTGTACATTCTGAACGAGATAATGTTTAGAACAACATGACATATACAATTTCCCCCTATAAAATATTGCAGTGAGGCTTTTTTTTTCTCCTTACCTACTGGCACATCTCTATAGTTTAAGTGATCCTGAGAACAATGATTTGGGTTCTTAAAGGAAAACCTACGAATCGAAGGATTTTTAAAGTTATGTTTATTCAGCAAATATCTGTTTGTAAAGTCCAAGAACTGAAAGTACAAATACAGTCTATTCTGGCTCCCTGACATTCACTGTTATAAGCACTGCCCTCTGTGCCTGTCAGCAAACAGAGGGACATAGATAAAAGAGAAGACTCCAAAGCAATGTTTCTGTTTCTTCTCACAGAGTGCCTGCCACTGGGCTGAACTGGACTGTGATGTTCATTGCTAAACCCTAATATACATTTAAAGTAAAACATCCGTCAAAACAGGCTAGCACATTTTTTAGGGGATTGTCAATGTTATTTTTTATGGTTAAAATGGCCCACTATGGTCAAGTGTGCAGTGGTCCTGTTCCATGGTAAGTAGTTAAACCATTTTTAGATAGTTTGATGCCTACTTTGCCTGGGAGTTTCCATTTCTGCTATCTCGAAAGCTGAATTCCCCTGCGACAAGATATAGTTGATTGGCTGAGAATGTCAGCAGATGTTTTCAGCCAATGATTTCCATCTAAACACAAGTGGGTACTGTCCTTTGTGCACTACAGTATAAGGAAGGGTTAACCAGGCAGCTTCTAATAGGCTGAAAGCACCAGCTGACACTTTCAGTCTATCAATGGATGTCCATTGAGAGAAATAGTACCTAGCTGAGAGGAACTGAAGCCGGGTGGTAACAGAACAATACAGCTCAACATAGTTGTTCTGGTGTGTATAGTATGTCCCTGCAGGCTTAAACACTTTTCAAAGTAAAGGCAGTATTTACATTACTGTCTAGTAACACCTCTACTGGCAGTCACTCAGACGGCCACTGGAAGTGCTTCCTGGTCACAGTGTGCAGCAATGTCGTTCAGCGTCTCCACACTCTGAATGTAGACCCCGAATATTCCCCATAGAGATGCATTGATTGATTCCTGATTGATGCAGTAGTTTTGCCGCGCATGCACATTAGTCTCCAAATACATCACTATGGGACAAGCCACAAGGAGACCCATGCAGCGCAGGAAAAAAGTAACAGTGGGGGGCTTAATGCTGTATTACACCTATAGTGTCAGGAAGACGCATTTGTAATTTAAATAGTTATTGATGAAAGAGTGACTAAAGACTTCTTACCTTCAGGGGTTAAACAGTTTGACTACAGGTTAACCCAAAGGTTAGGGCTCCAGCTTCTCAAGTTCAGGTTCATGATTTTGCAATTGACAGTTTCATGGAACCGCAGACAAATATTTTATCCATACCAAAAAATTCAAAGACAGTATCCAACTTTAGCAATCTGTAAAGGAATTCTCAAGTCACTATTATGTCACTACAGTCAACAGATCAGTATGGAGCAGTGTTTTTGTACCGACAATCCATTTCTTTAGAACAAGTATTATCCCGTTTTCCTAATGTTATATTTTTATTTTAACCCCTTAAGACCTAGAGTTTGAGACAAATCCCTTATAACAAAACAAACAAAATTGGGCAAGTTATACTGCAGTTATCAGAAACAAAAGCAGTATCCAGTATTGCAAATTGCTTTAACCCCTTAAGGACCAAACTTCTGGAATAAAAGGGAATCATGACATGTCACACATGTCATGTGTCCTTAAGGGGCTATGCACAAAAGCTTACAGAAAATCACTTTTGTTACAGGAATGACCATCCCTGAAGAAGATGCAGAGCTGGGACAAGGGAGCAAGTACTGTCTGGTTGCTATCGGGAGACTGCAGGTCTGCATACATCTATAAACCATTTTTATTGAGTGATAGTCATCATTGCTTATTCTGGCATCAACCATTTAAAATGGGCAAAATAATAAATAAATTGTTTGAGAGATGATATAGAGCAAGTGAAGGGGGCAAAGGTAGATCCCCAGATGTTTTGAACTACAACTCCCTTGATGCTTTGCATGCCTTTATAATGTCTTTACAATGACAAAGCATCATGGAAGCTGTAGTTTTAAAGCATCTGGAGATCTACCTTTTGGCCACCCCTGATATAGTGTATAGACTAATTGCCAAATGTACAGAATGTTACAGAAATAAAGCACAATTAATGTTGTGCTGTTCCAAATAATCATGTTAACTGTCATTTTACAACATCTGAGGATCTACTTTTTAACCCTTTCCCCTCGACTGTCTCACAGGGTGGGACATTTTAATTTTCTCATTCTGATCGTATGACTGTCCCACCTGGTGGGACATATTAGTAGCATTCAAGTTTGATGATCGTACGGCTCACCCAGAGGGACATAACGTTATCAGATAGGCGACTTGAAAAAAACCCCATCACAAAGTGATTTCTATAAATAAATTTGGCAAATTTGGTGAACGGCACTGAAATTTTATCCGAGTGGAAAGGGTTAACCATCCCTGATTTGCCTTTATTGAGTTAAGACAGAATATAGAAGCAGACTCCTTCATGTGACATTCTAGACAACATTACCACTTCACTTAATTGAAGTAGGAATGAAGTCTGGAGTCGTCTGTATTAAAAAAATGACTGAGGGTCCCAGGCACCCACAGCTCTGTCATCTCCGTTGCTCGGGATAATGCTTTGCGTTAGCCTGGCAAGTAACGGGCAGGGATTTTAGGCTATTATTATACAATATATCTAGACACTGTATCTTTAAGGATATTTACCATATATGACCTAGAACCTAGGTTTGCTTATTCATTTTATTTCGCAGCTGTTTAAGTACTCCCCCTAAGTATTAATATTCAGCTTTTGTTCCACTTTTCTACTATTTTGTATGATGACAATGTTTCTTGTGGCATGGCTTTACTTTACTGGGACATTAGCAAGATACTGTTTGAGGCTTTTTAATCTTTATGTACAATCTTCCTTTCTCTTTTTTTGTTGCCTTTACTATTAAGGACTAATTCTCGGTCTGGTTTTTTTTTTTTGTCTCTTACATTCATAGACTCTAAGGTGTTTTTTTTTTTTCTAAACACCTTAGACACACCCAGGTAATCCCTAAACCCTGGACTGGTAGGGGGTCCTGAGGACTAACGTTGAGAACCCCTGCTTTAGTGATTTCAACTTCTACATTAGCTACACCCTTTCAGAGGAGCCACAGCACCCAGGGACCCACATTCAGTGTCAGCCCATCATAAAGGGTTTAACACAACAGTGGAACAACGCCATGGGGTTGTTATGGTGCCTAGAGTGTGCCTTTAAATTATATAATTTATATCAGTACTTGTTCATCTTTTTACAAACTTTATTAACATGTGTGGTGAATGAGATCTACTGTAGGCCATTTTCAAGAGTGCTGTAACTAAGGCGAGAAGAAATTCACCCATTTTACGCAAGAATTCCTCCTTTATATACTCACTAGTGTAATGACATGGTTTTATACTTTTTGTATAATCTATGTTAACACTAATTACCACTCTTCCTCTAAAGCAGGTCACGTCTGATTTTGTTCAGTACGTTTTCTAACCATTTTTCAATAAATTGGTCTAGAACTCTGTTGTTTTTTTGTTCATTTGTTCCTGATTCTGGTGTTCTCAATCATTTCCACTGCAGGCAATCACTCTCCTGCTGCCATAATTTATTACATGCATGGCCTGATTCACAGCCGATGTTTACAATGTAAATAAACTCAAAAAGTATAACAAGCTATCCCGCAGGTCACAAGTTCTCCTGGGTGCGTGGACATGAATGGAATGTCTCTTCCAACTGAATTCTTATCACGGCACAGCACGGATGGAGTCATCACGTTTGTAGACCCCCGGTGCATCAGTGTGATTGGGTATCAACCACAGGTTAGCATCAGAGACTGCCCCACATCTGTAATGTTTCAAAAACGGAGGGCTAGGTTTATGTTTTTTTGTGGTATGGGTTCTCTTGTTTGTACTAAAAGGACTGCTTTTAACATGTCAACTTACTGTTTCATGGTCTGTTTGTTTGATCAAACCTTTTCTGTTTTTATTGTCACGGCCTGCTTGCTCTAGCATTGAAGTGGGTTATATTTCAGCTCTAATTTCTCTGGAATGTTTAAGATCCTGATAGATATACGGTTTGCGACGTTGTTGGCAATCCAAGGGAGACTAAACAGCTTTCTGTGTCTGCCTGTCATTCAAGTGTAATTATTGTCCCTAATTTTCCAGATTTGCAGACTTTATTGGAGCTATAATTCTATTTTTTAATTCATAACTCATGAAAAGAATGACAGAAACTACTTTTCTAGGATCCTTAAGCAGAGGATCCTAATAACACCCATTCTCATGCTATATAGACTTTGAAAATATATTAAGGGTTTATCTTTGCATGTTTGAGGTAAACATTCTGTTTTGTGGCTTAGTGGCTTATTTTTTTCATTTGGCGGGGAGGGGAAGGGTGAGGGTTACTCTTTACATTATTTACATGACCTACAAGTAATTTAAACTTCCCCAGCCTGATAGAACCTGCAGAGATGTAGCACACTGCTAGCCCTTCTCCAAGGAGACAATAGTCAAATCAAGGTCATTTTGAAAAAGAGTTTCATAGATCAAGTCCAAAAAATATTAAGGAATGCTTGAAAATAATATTAAATGTAATATTTGTCCCACCCAAGGAGCAGCATTCATAACCAGTTTATATCTTGGATGATCTGGATTCCTAAAGTCTAGGAACACAGAGATCTAATTCCCCCTGGTTCCCACTTGCATCTATTACTGTTTATCATCCACAAAACCTCCTACCAGAGCGAAATGCTATATACCTGGAGGGGACTAACAAATGATATTCCTCATGGATGCGTAGTTGTGGCACATTTAGTTATTCATTCCCATTCTTGCCGTGCTCTTATTCACAGATACAATAATAATAATAATAATACATTCTTTGTTTCTGATAAGAGGAAAGAACAGAACACCTTCCTCTGGCGTATTGCCCAGTTGCATTTTATGTAGATATTATTCCCCTGTATTGATAAATTCTAAAGTGAGGAACAATGTGCTAAATCCTATTATATCTGTGCATCAAATTGAACAACGTAATGTCCTTTAACGTACTGTATTTGCAACAACATATTCTGTTTTCAGTTCTAGATTGAACAAAATAAAATTGCTTTTTTTCTAGGACCTCTTGGGAAAGGATATCATAGAGTTTTGTCACCCAGAAGATCAAAGTCACCTTCGGGAAAGTTTCCAACAGGTATGACTTCTCCGTTCTCATAACAGAATAACTCTCATAAAGCATGAAAGGCTAATGTATGATTTAAACCTATTTAGTTGCTCTTTTCAGGTTTAGCTATGTTAGTTGTTTTCTCTATCTGCCAGTGCTGGTTACGTGCAACACAGTTCTTTAATTAGTGTCTAAGTGTATTCTATGCTAGCACAATCACTGCTTCTCGCTACTCCTGAAACTTGATTTATCCAATGGTCCTAAACATACCAAGGCTGTGTTGTAAATAACAATTTCTTGTAACAAAAAAGCATGAGTTTCTTTGTTTTTAATTGTACTAACTTTCTAAAAGGTAATGCCTTCTTACAGAGGGCTTAAGGTAGTCAATGTCACCTTGAGCCCACACCTCAAGGTCATTGCAGTGGCAATACTTCATATAAAGATAGTTTGTGGGTTGATTGTTTACTCACCCTAGATATTCATGTAAGTCGATATTCCATACAGTATGATAATGCATTGCATCTACATGCTTAGTGTTCACCCTTTCACACTCTTCCAACACTTTCGTCTTAGGTTGTGAAGCTGAAAGGACAGGTGTTGTCAGTGATGTATCGTTTTCACACCAAGACGCGGGACTGGATGTTACTCCGCACCAGCAGTTTTACTTTCCAAAACCCATATTCTGATGAGATTGAGTATATTATATGCACCAATACTAATGTGAAGTAAGCTCCTTTGGATGTACCATTCTACCATGTCTATTGTAGCTTTGCTCATAGAATAGCAAACCCACACACGCCTCCAATGTCATAGGACATTACAACAAGCTTCACTGGAAATGTAGCATCAAGTAATTCATATACAGTAACTTGTCCTGCTCTATAGTGGAGTTTTGGGATCATATTGTCAAACTAATTGTCAGGTTCCAGTGTAGATCATTTGTTTATTAATTCCCCAGTAAGCAAAAGTTACTGTTCATGTTTTTAAAAATATTAGTTTTTATCATTCTGACTAGTACTAGTAATAGTTGCTATGTCCATATATTCTATGGTTGTAGTTAGAAATTTCAGAGTAACAGAATGGAAACCTTTGTTGGGAAAAGACCCCAGTTGAAATTGACTCCTTAGTCAGTACTTTGATGAGAAGCTCGTAATGGTACTTGTTCTGAGCCCTTGTTGTGTTACAAAAGACATTTCATGTGACGCATATTATGTCCAAGGAAGGGCAATGCCTTATTGCCTTTTAGCATTTTCTCAGCTGTTTCTATCTTCCTAGGCAAGTACAGCAGCAACAGGCTGAGATGGAGGTTCATCCAAGGGATAGTTTGTCCTCCTATGACCTATCACAGGTGGGTATTACACAGATATGACTTTTTCCTTTCCACCCAGATGTGTTTCTTGATGTGTGATCTTTATTTGCCTTTTATACTCTGCATGCCTTGTGTCATTACAGGTGTCTGTGCCAAGCCTTGCAGGCAGCGTTCACGAAGGGGGGAAATCTGTAGTTGATAAGCCGGATCCCATCTTTTCCCAAGACCGTGACCCCCGCTTCGCTGAGATGTTTGCTGGAATTACAGCCTGTAAGATATGGATAGTTAATTTGCCTAGCTGTGACCAGGCATCATGTACAACCACTTTAGCATCATTTGCTTTTTCAGTATTAGAAAGTCAAAGTTTAATTCCAATTGAAATATTTTGTCCCATTCATTTTTGGGCAGTGAGTACATTTATATGTTTTGAATGTTTCCTCTTATTCGTTTATGCTGCCCAAATACAGCTAGGTGTCATTGTTTCTTAGTATCTTAACGTTAAGAATACCAGTCATCTTTATTCAAACTAAGGCATATTTATTGTGTCTCAAGGGGCATTACATGTTCTCAGATACCCACCAAGTTCAGATGAGGACAGGTCAGGGTACTGAGCTGAATTTACGAGCCCCAGGGAGCCTGGTAATATGTGTGTTTTCAATAAATACTTAGGTATGTTTGTAAATGTACGACGAGGGTCAAATGAATTGAAGATTGAAAAGGAATTTAATGTTAACTGATCCAAAGTACCTCCTGCGAGTCTGCCTGTCGCCACCAGCACATAGTTCTAGGATTAAAAAGGGTCTATGTCTCTAAAAAAAATTAGAGATGTTGTCTCAAGCCTTGAGGCCAAAATGCTCCTTTTGAAGTTGAATGTTGATTGGTGAGGATTTCAGGTAAGTATTGGCCTGATTTATTTAGCATAGCATTTCTACTCCTTTCAGAGACTTCTATATTATGGGTTTTTTCTGTATAATGTAGTTTGCACTCTTAGTTACTTCTCTGTTTTTCCTATTTGTCTTGTTCTTTAGCTGAGAAGAAGATGTTGTCCGCATCTGGCAGTGGAACTCAGCAACTCTACTCAACGGGCAGCCCCTTCCAGCCAGGACACAGTGGCAAGTCATTCAGGTATCAAGATGGACGTAGATTACACAGACGACAGTACAAAAATATCTCTCCAGGTCTGTGATTTGAGTGTTTATTGTTACAGCTCCTCCGTGGTCCATGTCACTGGAGTAAATGAAATCCAGTCTCCAACAGGCACTGGGCAGAATTTAACCCAGATATCTCGTCAGATTAATGCTGGGCAAGTCTGGACAGGAAGCAGACCTCCATTTCAGGGGCAGGTATAAAGATTACATTATATTATTGTGTTTATAGTATCCATAGCTGTGAGACTATACTATAAATTTGTTTTGTTCTTAATTAAGTTTGTCATGTTGATATGACGTTTCAGCAAATCACTTCTCAGTCCAGTAAAGCTCAATCTTCTCCCTTTGGAATCGGAACAAGCCATACGTATACATCAGATCCTTCTACGTACAGCCCACTCTCGAGTCCTGCCACCTCATCTCCTAGTGGGAATGCCTACTCTAGCTTAGGAGGACGAGGTGCTGCATTCAGTAAGCATACTTTTCTTAACTTTAGTCATTGACATCATGAACTTATGAAGACAGAAGTGTTTACTTTGGTAGTATTCTTAGAAAGTTTTTAAGTTTTTCATATTCGCAAATCACATTTCATTATACACTGTACGTTATTCAAATTGGTGCGTGAAGCTATTGAAGGGGACATTCTACGGAAATCTTTAAAACACAGAAACATAATTGTGATAATCTTTATAGAATTTAAAATAAAATAAAAAATTAGACAAAGCAAAAGTAAATATGCTCACCCAACAACACTGCTATTTTGTGATTATGTTGTTACCAATAAATAAATCACCTGTTATTGTTCAAATTAAAAAAAGTATTACTCGAGTTTAAAATTTCTAAACCTATTTTAAGATAATTTTTACACTAAAGTTTCAATAAATTGCATACGTATTGGATCTTCTTTCGCCCCTACAAGATTTGCCAACGTTGTACAATAGTTTGTAGGATGGCAAATGTAGATTTGATTCTGTACAATTCAGTGGCATGCTTGGAAGGCAGACAGTGTTACAGTACTTATAGTATTTGGAGCACTTGGTGCAGTTTGGTGTGTGTCCCCCTTTAGTTTCCCACTTCTGGTCATAGGGTCTCTCTATTAACATGCAAATAGATTCCACCAAAGCTGGACTCAAAGTGTTCTCTCTAGACGTCCTGCTCAGTGAGCTCTAGCGTGTGTTGATGGGCAGCTGGAAGCTAAAATGAGCTGAGTTTGATATTTATGGATATTTATTTAAGCTACTGAACATATGCTGCTTGCTTTCTGTAATTCCAGTTTTTAATATAAATTGTCCTAACCAACACAATGAAAATATAATTATGTTATGAGACTTCATGGGTACATGCATTTAACTAGATCAGCAGATCTACTTACACCTAGCCAGTTCTTTTTACATCACATTGATACAGTCTTTGATAGCTATGGTAACATGTTCTATGTCTTGCAGCTGAAACAGGACAGAGCAGTGGTCAGTTTCAGGGCCGAGCGTCTGAGGTCTGGTCTCAGTGGCAGAGTCAGCATCATAACCAGCAGAGCAATGAACAGCATTCGCACCAGCAGCCAGGACAGGCCGAAGTTTTCCAGGTAATAACATAAATGCTCTTATTTAGAAGAGCAAATATCTATTGTAATCTAGACGTTTTAATGAGATACTAACACTTGTTAACTTATTACATTGAATGCTTTATCCCATTACACATACTATTTCAGTGCTCTATAAAATTACTACGGGTGATGTACAATAAATTACTGTTTACATTCCTTATGTGCACAGGACATGCTACCAATGTCTGGAGATCCCACTCAAGGCACCGGTAATTATAACATTGAAGACTTTGCTGACTTGGGGATGTTTCCTCCATTTTCTGAGTAATCTCTAAAGAAGCACATCATCCTTTTCTCTACGTGGCTTACCATATATCAGCTTTGTAACTGAACATCGGTGGGGAAAGATGTGGTTGGTCCATCTGTGGGATGGTAACACGCACCATAGGTGACAGGAGTTTGTAGTGTTTTCCTTAAATCAGCAATTTACTTGTCTGAGAGAAGTATTGGGAACTTTTCGAAAGCCACAGCAGATTCTTGCACCAAAGTGAAGGAATTATTATGAACATTCATGGACTGCTCCACCTTTTATCAAAGTACAGTCTTAACCGTTTTCCTACCTGGCCTTCTGGCAAGAATTGGTTAGATCTGTATGGCAAGTTATTTGTAAATCAAAACATGTTACTATTACATAAATTAACAACAGATGACACACTCAATACCTTATGAATAAAGAATAATTGACTAGATGAACTTCGTTAAGATTATTTAAGAGATGTGAATCATGTCCATAGGAGGACTTCTCACTCCCAGAGTTTGTAACGGACCTCACACTGTACACGACAGCCTTTCTCAGTCCCACTAGCAGGAGTGTTTTACTTTCTCCTCTATCATCAATAATCTACTCAACTCTTCTGAAGGGGACTGCTCATTTTATGTTCTGTGATTCACAAACCCTGCGTTGTATTTCATTAGGGGAAGAAACTGAGCTTATTTATAATCAAGAGAGTTGATGTTGAACCCCGTTCTCTGTCTCTGTCTCTGGCTCTTTATCTCTTGGAGAGATTAATTTTCTGGAGCTTTTTCCTGTCCTGATGCAAACAGGGAAGTCTTCATGTATTGTCAATGTGACCTGTCTTGGTTACTAATCTGTCCAGCTAATATGTTGTTGTGAACAGTAACGTATAAATTGTGTATTTTGTACTACTGAATGTCTTGTACTATTGTTCATTGCAGTGAGCATTGCATAGCTATGCTCTCTTTTGCTGATGTCATTTCAATAAAGGCTGACTCCGGTTTCTATGCGTATCTGAATTTTTTTAATAGTTGTGTTAGTTGGGCTACTTAATGAGATTTAATAGTAATGCAAGGATTTTTATCATCAGAAATTGATTCAGAAATGCTAGTGATTTCAGATGACATGATGGCATTTCATAAGTTGAGCCTGTTACATATGTTTAGGCAACATATCTCACAATAGGCTGTATTTTTCCATTCTGTTCAGTGATGTCCTTTAGCATTAACATAACCAGTGATGTACTGTAGCTACCTGTATCATTGTGACTAATTGATGCAGTTTGAGGAGAAAATTAGTGAATTAACAGCTTACTAGCAGATAGCTAGGGTTTAACTCCCCTTCTTTACAAGTGGTCACATGACATCTTGACTGTCCTCTAAAATCATCTGTGTTAAAGGGGTTTGTTCATTAAGCCCATATGATTGCAAAGTTTACATTTTGTTTTTTAAGCCTGAGCAACCACATTTATAAAAAATAAAGCCGATTGTGGCTAATTATTTGCAATTGACTTGTGTGTATTTAGACTTTACAAAGGTTCTAATAAAAGTAAAAACATTCCTTACTTCATTTATGTATCAGTCTCCCCCACACCTTTATTTAGCACCATGTCTCGTTAATAATTGGAATTTTGTTGTGGATATTTTTAATGCATTGAATGTATCTTATAAAATTGTTTTATTTGTACAGTCACAGTGCATGTCATCTTTTTGTTTCTATAAAGTCTAATTCAAAACATCCCTCCTTCAAAATGCTAAATATAATTTTATCACATATGATGGATTGCGTGCAAATCACTTTAATTAGACAAAAGTGAAACTTTCTTAACGCGAACTGTGGGATACAAAGTCCAAGAAGGAAACCTATCGGTCACTTGCTACCAATATATACAAGAAATATACAGAAATAAGATGCTAATCCTAAAATTTCCACAATTTCACATAATTAATAGTTTTATGGAGGAATTGTTAACTAAAATGTAGAACTTTAATAATTCAAGTTCAGATGCACTGTGGACTAAGGGACAGGGCCGGATTAACATAGGGGCTGATGGAGCTGCAGCTCCAGGCCTAAGCCCATAGAATAGGCCCATTGATTTAAATAATAAAATACTCTCTCAGTGTCCCCATGTCTCCCAACATAAAAGAAAAAAACTCAGGCTCTTACTGTGATAGATTTAAGCAGGTTTATTGGACACTGCAACGTTTCGACCTGTACCCAGGTCTTTATCAAGTCTCCAGTGTCCTCTATGTATCACAGTGTCCCCTATGTATCACAGTGTCTCAGTGCCCTATGTCTCCCAGTGTCCCTGGTGTCTCTCAGTGTCCGTAGTGTCTCAGTATCCTTAGTGTCTCAGTGTCCCCTAGTCTCCCAGTGTCCCCATGTCTTACAGGGCCCCAAGTGTCTCAGTGTACCCTAGCATAAAATAAAAAATCTCAGGCACTTACTGTGATAGATTTAAGCAGGTTTATTGGACACCAAAACGTTTTGACCTGTACCCAAGTCTTTATCAGGTCTCCAGTGTCCTCTATGTATCACAGTGTCCCCTATGCTCCATGTCCCCCAGTGTCCCCTCATTTCTCAAGTTCTCACCCAGTTTTCGAATAGCTGCATCCAGCACCATCTCCATCAAATACATGATGCTTGGGAGGTAGTACTGTTTTAGTATTTTTGGTCAATAAGATTTTGTAATTAGGCCCATCATAATTGTCACAAAAGTGAAACTTTCTTAACGCGAACTGTGGGATACAAAGTCCAAGAAGGAAACCTATCGGTCACTTGCTACCAATATATACAAGAAATATACAGAAATAAGATGCTAATCCTAAAAATTCAAATGCTTGGGAGGTAAGACTGTTTTAGTATTTTTGGTCAATAAGATTTTGTAATTAGGCCCATCATAATTGTCAGCAACAGGCCCACTGGGCTCTTTTTTCGGGCATTGACTATAGATTATTATCTTTGGTTTATGTTTGGATAGTTAAAGCTATTTGTCTTTGAATACGTAAAGCAGTGTTCCTCTCCCAAACCATTTCAAACAATTCGAGTATATTTGATTAAAATGTCACTGAAAAATAAAAATAAAATCATTAAAAAAAAAAAAATATTGTACAGCCTTATTTTTCTATACAATTTGTAGTTCTAGACAACTATTAAGGATAATAAACCCAAGACATTTGATGTGCCTATTTACTTTATAAGGATACCACTAAGCAGTGATGTCATCATGCATCATAATAATCTGAGAGTATCTTACAAGAGTTTGAACAATCTGAAGCCAGTCAGTGTGGAGCTGGGACTACAGGGTAAACAGAAACTCATCAGAACAAACCAAAACCTTCTGGATAATCTGCTGCATGGACCTAAACAGGATCTGAAGAGGATGGTAATGTTTAGGGTTAATGATTCATATGAAATACATTTAATACAGATCCAGGGACAGACTTGTAATCGATCGCCTTAATATGGGGTCAGGAAGGAATTTTTTACTTGGATATTTTACCCATGTCCAAGTTTTTTCGCCTTCCTCTGGATCACTAATTCACTAAATATTGAATTGTAATCAAATTTATTGTAGCAAGTTTATTCACTAAACACCAAATTTTATCCACATGTGTTTTTGTATTTTTGTAACTCTTAAAATAATATATATCTATATGAAAGCTTGGTACAAATGTATTAAAGACAAACACTCTAAATAAAATTAGAAGACTGGATTCATTATATAGTTTGTATTTGTAACCTACGTAATTAAAAACTAAGATAAAATAAATTTTAAACACCTTAAAAAGGGGAAATAATATTTAATTGATGAATTGCCATATATAACTGACACTAAATATATATTATCCTCATGCTTCTGTAAATATGCAGTCACAAATATAGTGCCATGTCCCAATAGTAGGGAAAAAGCATATTATGATTTCTAATAATAATAAGTCCATTCTGACCACAATTCATCACATTTATAACCTCAGTTTTGCACTATATATTTTTTTATGATCAAACATGGCAGCATTTACTCATGAGTTAGACCCAATCGCTCCCTCGGGGGATTAAAACAGTCCATTGCATACATGCCAGGGTTCAACCTCTAATCCCTGAAGACCCAGCAACAGCATATGTCTATGAGTTGCTAGCCTGGGTAAACCCTGTAGTGACCCGGGGTCTGACCCAATTCCCTCCTTCAGAGGAGGACGCGGTCCATACATGAAGCCATGCCAGGGTTCAGCCTCTTATCCCTGAAGACCCAGCAACAGCATATGTCTATGAGTTGCTAGCCTGGGTAACCCCTTTAGTGACCTGGGGTCTGACCCAATTCCCTCCTTCAGAGGAGGAAAGCGGTCCATACATGAAGCCATGCCAGGGTTCAGCCTATTATCCCTGAAGACCCAGCAACAGCATATCTCTGTGAGTCGCTAGCCTGGGTAACCCCTTTAATGACTGGGGATCTGACCTAAATGTCTCCCTCAGGGGATGAATGCAGTCCACGGTATACCTGAGGCACAGCCAGGGTTCAGCCTCTTATCCCTGAAGACCAATCTCTGAGTCACCAGCCTGTGTAGCCCCTTTTCGTGACCGGGGGTCAGATCCAATCGCTCCCTCAGGGGATTAAAGCAGTCCATTGCATACATGCCAGGGTTCAGCCTCTTATCCCTGAAGACCCATCTCTCTGAGCCGCCAACCTGGGTACCCCCTTTAGTGAACGGGGGTCTGACCCAACTCTCTCTCTCACGGGATGACAGTGGTCCACTGCATACATGAGGCCAAACCAGGGACCCAAAAAACTTCACTTCCATAAGGTGACTACCTGGGTATGCTGTAGGTTTGTTTAAAACCTTCCCCCACTGGTGGTGACGAATGTCATGTTCTTTCTAACAAATAGGTAATATTTAGGAGGTTTCTGTGGTGAGCATTTAGGAAAGTTTATACATGCAATTATGCAATTTACAAAAGAGCGCTGATAATGCAACAATGCATTTACAAAAAGAGTGCTGATAAGGCAATGATGCATTTTACTAAAGAGTGCTGATAATGCAATGATGCATTTTACAAAAGAGTGCTAATAATGCAATTTACAAAAGAGTGCTGATAATGCAATGATGCATTTAAAAAAGAGCGCTAATAATGCAATTTACAAAAGAGTGCTGATAATGGATATCCTGGTTGTATAAAGTTTGCCTGAATACCACAGTCCTGGAGACAGAGAAGAGGCCAATACCCTCAGTAATAGGAAGCTTCCCTGGGTGACTGAGCCAATTGTACCTGTACACCCAGTGCACATCAAGGGTGAGTGATTGCGTAGTGATAAGATATACTTACCAGTAGTGATGTACCGAACGGTTCGCCGGCGAACGGTTCCTGGCGAACATAGCATGTTCGCGTTCGCCACGGCGTGCGTACATATGCGCGGTTCGACCCGCCCCCTATTCGTCATCATTGAGTAAACTTTGACCCTGTACCTCACAGTCAGCAGACACATTCCAGCCAATTAGCAGCACAGCCTCCTAGCAGACCCTCCCACCTACTGGACAGCATCCATTTTAGATTCATTCTCAAGCTGCATGCTTAGTAAGAGGAGGGAAAGTGTAGCTGCTGTTCATAAGATAGGGAAAAGCATAGCTAGGTTAGGGATAAGGGTATGCTTTTTTTGGATTTTTTTTTCTATCTAATGTAAATGCACTTAGTTGTCTTGCCACTGCTGCCAGCTTCTGTGTCAGGCTCACAGTGCCCATTTCCCCAGTCAGTGCCACCAATTACATCTGGTGTCACAATAGCTTGGATTTAAAACAAAAAACTTTTTTCACTGTTATAGATTGAATAGCAGTCAGTTGTCTGCCACTGCTGCCAGCTTCTGTGTCAGGCTCACAGTGCATACTGTGCCCATTTCCCCAGTCAGTGCCACCAAATACATCTGGTGTCACAATAGCTTGGATTTAAAAAAAAACTTTTTTCACTGTTATAGATTGAATAGCAGTCAGTTGTCTGCCACTGCTGCCAGCTTCTGTGTCAGGCTCACAGTGCATACTGTGCCCATTCCCCAGTCAGTGCCACCACTTACATCTGGTGTCACAATAGCTTGTATTTAAAAACAAAAAACTTTTTTCACTGTTATAGATTGAATAGCAGTCAGT